GTGCATAAAGGAGGTGGATTTAGAGTAAAATCACATTTCAAACACTGGTGGAAGGGATTTAAACTTGTCTTTATAAAACTATCTGTTCAGGAAAATCAGTTTCCAGTGCTTTTAAGGTTATAAAACAATGAGTTACATGCAGGTTGGTCACTCTTTATCTGCATTAGGATCTGAATAAAATAGGATCTTAATTTATGAAGCCTTAAGTCTAAGTGCTGATCTAGATTTGCTTTTTATGCGTTATATTCTGGCTTAAATATTAACTAAGATCAGGACTTCTACATGGATTGGCTATTTGTGAATTGTTTATCAATGTGATTATTGAAAATGGTAATAGGTTTGTTCTTCTTGTGTCTAACTCTCTTCCTCTTGACTGGTAGGGTTGAGTTGTGAAGTGTTGCAGGCTGACAGGGCTGCATTTGTATCGTCTTTTAAACTAAAAAACCTTTATAGCTTTTCCTAAACTTGGTTAAACGGGAAACTTTTTTTTAATCAGAGATTTTTAGACAATCTGAAAAAGGGGCCATTGTTTTTTGAGATTCAATCAAGTTTACTATATGTTTTGGTAAAGCTCCCAACTCAATGAATACAGTTAGACTAGGCTGTTACATTAGCTACATTAAAGTGACTCCATTATTTGATATCCCATTTCATAAACAGATCAATAGGGAAATGAGGAAAGGGTGTTTAAATAAAGTGTTTCCACTCCTAGTAGACCTGTACTTTGACACAAGAACAACAGTAAATTAGCTGATAAAGAGTTTGTACACGGTGTTCAGAGCTTAGGGTCAGATATGAATTTAAAAGAAAATCATATTGTCAACATGAATGCCTTGAACATGCTGTAACTGTGGTGTACCTGTGCATTATCAGCCATATCTGTTTACCCGATTACCGCCTTAACTTTTACGGTCACTGTCACCTTTTACGCTCAAGAAAAACTGTGAGAAAAATATAAAATGTCGATTGATGGAATTCACATTGTGGTTTTGACTGTTAAACATTAGTGGCAGTGAACACACCCCAGAGGAGATACCTGCCTTGGCCCCTGGAGTTTTGCAACCATCCTTGGTATTACTTGAATCTGGAGATGTGTGTGTGTGGGGAGAAAGTAGAATTTGAATATTCCCTCTTTTTTTGGAAATTCCTTTTCCTTTTTTTTAATAACTTTTGTAAATTTTCTCTACAGCTGTGAAACTTCTTGTATATGCGGTCTTGAATAAAGAATTTTAGAGTCGTTTAAAAGTGAGTCGCTGTGTAATTCTTTAAAGTTCCCTAGTACAAAGGACAATCATATTTCTTTCAATGCAAATATGTTCATTAACAATTCAAATGCAAAGCTAGAACACAAAAAAACTGAATAATACTTTGAAGTCTAAACTAGTCAGTTTACTAGTTATAAAAGGTGGCACATATGTCAAAATGTTGTTGTTGTTGAAAGGTTCAGTGTTTCATGGATTATTGGTCATGATAAACAGTATACATGGAAAAATGTGTCCCAAATGTTACTTGAGCTCTTAGATATTTCAGTAAGTACATTTACTAAATCTTTAATACATCAGCCCAGCACATTTGATACATTTATTTCCCATTTTTTCTGGTTGTGGTATCCTATAATTGCCAGTAAAAACTAAAGAACAGCATTTAGGACGCTTCATATGAGCCCATGTGTGGTTTATCAAACCACCTGTGATGCGTCCCGGCAGAACTTGTGCCCACAGTCCAAAGCTGACAGTCTGTCCATGTCTGTGTCACTCAGTGTGAAGTCAAAAAGCTTAGCATTGTCCTTTATTCTGTCTGGATTTGAGGACTTTGGCAGCACTGGGACACCCTGCTGCACAGCCCAGCGCAACAGGACCTGCAGGGGAACAACAGACCTAAAGGTTTCCAAATAATGTCTAGAGGGGAGGCTGCCACAAAAATGTTAATTGAGAGGTATTTTATTTGTTTGTATGCGTGTGCGTTACCTGTGCAGGCGTGCGTTCACAGTTCTTTGACACCTCCAGCACCACAGGGTCAGTTACCAGATCTCCTTTCCCCAAGGAGGAGTATGCTTGAAAACACACTCCATATTCCTCACACACTTTCCTCAGCTCTGTCTGGCAGAACTTTGGGTGAAACTCAACCTGAAGAAACAATTAAAAAAACACAGTGTGCATCAGCTCTTAAAAAACTATTATACATGTGATCCATCCTCCTCCTCTATCAGTGTCCTACCTGCAGCAAAGCAGGAGGGATCTTGCAGCTCTGTATCAGTTCCCTCATGTGTGCTGGTGTGTAGTTGGACACTCCGATGGCCTTCAGCTTACCCTGGGCATGCAGCTCCTCCAGAGCGGCCCAACTCTCAGCTCTGTTACCTGCAATTAAATATTCATTAGGATCTCATCATCCGTGTAACTCAAGTACAACTAAACTGTGGAGGAGCGTGAAGAGATTGAATCTTAACTCTTAATTAGTAAAAAGCATTACATTATCAAATATTGCTACACATGGCAAAAGTTATTCAGTGTCTCTTATTACAGTATATGTAATTATGTTAGTAATGCATGTAGCTATAAAATGCATTTCTCTCTCAAATGTAAAAGCTAAAGGTAAATTCCTCTCATGTAAGGTAATTTAATCTTAAAATGGATAGTTAGGTAGAGGTGTATTTGTTGAAATGGTCTAAATGATTAGCTTCCTCTTGTCCATAAACTAATGTTGTCTACTTTTGTGAGGGTGTACCTTAACATCCCAAGTAAATACTGTCAAAAAAGTACCCTTTGAAAAAGATTAACTTTAGATGATGTGGCGCGGACCTTTACAGTCTTTTTTGCTGAACTCATTTATTGCGACTGTCCTGCTTTCGTCCACTAAAATGAAATCTGTTTTGCTGTATACCGTCTTAAGCAGCATGAATATGAATTCTTTACCAGAGTTGCGTGGGTCAGTTATCTCTAGATCCAGTGTTCCAGGCCAGTGGATCAGGTAGAGGTCAATGTAACCCATGTCCAGATCAGACAGGCTGTGAAGGGCTCCTTCCATGGCTCGCTCACCCTGATCCTTGGAGCCCAGCTTACTGCAGGAAGAAAGAGAGAAGTTGTTGAGTATTGTACGCTGTGCCTCACCATCAACTGAGCTTCAGTGCCTCAATATGGTTTCTTAGATAAAATAAGGTTATGAGGGCACCGTACAGTGTACATTTGTAGGCGTATATTTGTCATTTTACCTAGCATCAATTTGATTATATTCCAGCTGTATTCAAGACACAAGTAAACAAAAACAAAATGCAATACATTTTGCTACTATTGTACTTAATGTGCTCTTTTGGAAAGGACATGAGCCTAAACATCACCTGGTTATGAATACATCCTCTCTGGTTAAGCCATGTTTGGGCAGGAGCTGCTTAAGCGCTCGGCCCAGTTCAGCTTCATTCAGGTATACGGCTGCACTGTCAAAAGCCCGATAACCAGCAAGCAGCGCTGCATCCACAGCCCGGGAGACATCTTCAGGAGACACCAACTTGTAGGTCCCAAAACCCAGGAGGGGCATCTGAACCCCGGTTTTTAGGAGGACAGAATGTGAAGAGGAAGACATCTGATCTGAAGGCAGTTCTGCTTTTCTGTATCCTGTTGGTTTACCCAAAACTGTTAAAGAAAGAAACTGATTTTTCTTGTTGAGACAGTAGTTTGATTTTATACATCGACCTTTAGCAACAGTTTCATTCATTACAGAGGAAGGTCAGAGGGTTTTAATGTGGAATGTTTTAAAGAGGGATAAGTCATGTAGTGATGAATTTATTTGTTGCTTCTTGTTTTATGGTCCTATATTGTTTAAGTTTGTGTCAGGTATTGTTCTGTCTGTATTTTTTTTGTTGAGTTTTGTGTATTTAATCTATCCATCTATTGTTAAGTGTGTATTCTGTACCATCATTTGTGAATGTGTTGTTGAGTTTTATGCATTTTAATAGGCCAATATAGGGACAGGCTTTACACATATGCATGATAAAAAAATGCTGTTGTGTGGCATTGCTTTATGCTACATACCTGTCCCTATACAAAATATACAGTGTTCATGCAATATCAGGACATAAGGATGTAACAGTGCAACTAGTAGGAGTGCAATGTGGCTGTGACTGTATATGCAAAATACAATGCTATCTGGTAGTACAGTTTCTCATAACAGATCATGTAAACGTGGTTAATGATCTACAATGAAACAGAACATGACAAAGTACAGACTAAATGAGCAGAGCCATGCGATATAGAGGGGTCACAGGAAAAACTGTCTCCCTTTAAAGCAGGGCTGTGCTCTCTGCACCTTAACAGAGCTACAATTTCACACCAAATGTGAAAAATAAAAAAGCGTTAGGGAATTCTTATTGCATTTTAAGAGTTGCTAGCTTACAGCAATCTTTAAGTTTCCGTATGCCATTATAACTGAAGGACAGTGAGGGACATTTATGTTATTTGTGGTTGTTTGTTACTTTTGCTGTTTTAAACGTCACAGAATTACGAACATAACCGCAATTATGTTAATATTGGCAGTGTGACAGCTATTATGACGTAGTATTTATAAAAACGAAGAAACCGTTACATTACCATAGTACAGTGTAAAACGCGATTAAATGCCATATTTACAGACAATATTTTCATCTCACCTTTTCAGCACTTTCAGCGGAATACTTTCGAATTAGAGCAGCAGAATCTGAGTGACCATGCAAGGAAATCTCGCTTTATTTCTAATTTTAGCCGTTATACAGAGGAGTGTTTACAAGTACTTCTTCCTGCTACACGTGGGAGCTGACAACCATGTGACAGTTAGGACGCTGCTGATTGGTTGAAGACAATCAGAAGGTCAAGAAACCGGAAGGCGGGAATAAAGAGATAGAGAAGGGACACCTTTTTCTTTTCTTTTTTTTAAAGGAGCACAATCAAGTATCTTGTATATTAGATTGAAGAAGAAGAATATGCACTGTACACATTTATATTTCAAATTGAAGACATTTAATAAACACAATGTTTCTGTTTTTTAATTATTTTATTCTGACTTTGCATATGAATTAAAGTGTGAGGCACCAAAGAATATAGAAATAGTCTTAAAATGATGACACGGTTTTGCTCTACATGCAGCACATTTAGGCCTAAAAGGCTTCGTATGTTTCATGGCATATGGGTGACAATTAAAAGGACCACTTATAAGTAAATGTTTTCTAAAACTCTGCTCCATAGTTTCTCTTGAAATAAAACCACGTTGTACATTTTACTCATACATAATCTATATATATATATATATATTTGTATATATAATATCTGCATGCATATTTTCTATTTCAACATGTATATTTTCTATTTTATTTTACTTTCTATTCTTGTTTATTTTGTAGTTTTGTTTTATTGTAAAATGCCTTGTCTATTATGCTGCTGTAACAAAAACAATTTCCCAATTTGGGATCAATAAAGTACTATCTATCTATCTAAAAGGTTTCCTGAACTCTCAGAAGCTTAGTACATATATTTGCCAAATTTCTGAATACATCAGTCCAGTGCATTTATTACGTAACTGAGTTGTCCATATCCAACCTCTCACCTTTACCACCACTTCGTCTTTGAGAGCTAAAGAACAGCCAAATTAAAGAGGCATTGTGAATATGTGGTCTTTCAAACCACTTCTGATGGATCCCAGCAATATTTGTGTTCACAGTCCAAAGCTGAAAGTCTGTCCATGTCTGTGTCACTCAGTGTGAAGTCAAAAAGCCTGGCATTGTCCTTTATTCTGTCTGGATTTGAGGACTTTGGCAGCACTGGGACACCCTGTTGCACAGCCCAGCGCAACAGGACCTGCAGCGGAACAACAGATGTCAGTGTTTGTACAAAAATACTGTTAATCAAGAGGCTCTTTGTGTGTGTTTACCTGTGCAGGTGTGCGTTCACAGTTCTTTGACACCTCCAGCACCACAGGGTCAGTGACCAGCTCTCCTTTCCCTAAGGAGGAGTACGCTTGGAAACACACTTCATACTCCTCACACACTTTCCTCAGCTCTGTCTGGCAAAGCCTTGGGTGAAACTCTACCTGAAGAAACAACATAAAAAAGAAAATGTGTGAATTGTCTCTTTTAAAAAAACTATTATACATGTGATCCATCCTCCTCCTCTATCAGTGTCCTACCTGCAGCAAAGCAGGAGGGATCTTGCAGCTCTGTATCAGTTCCCTCATGTGTGCTGGTGTGTAGTTGGACACTCCGATGGCCTTCAGCTTACCCTGGGCATGCAGCTTCTCCAGAGCGGCCCAACTCTCAGCTCTGTTACCTGCAATTAAATATTAATCAGGGACTCAATCAAAGATAAGATTCAAGATGTCAGTTTATCTCCCTCTTCCATAATGTAGCTGTACTTGGATAACACTGACCATTAGTGAAGCAATTGTTTATAAAACATTTGATTCATTCACTAGGATTTTGAACAGAGATTAGCCGCTTTCACACCAAGTACTTTGCCGTACTTAGTGCCCCAGGGCACTAAGTACCAATCGCGTTCACACCGGAGTACTTTTCCCTGAGGGAAGATTACGCAAATGAGCAGCTGACGTCACTTCTTCTTCTTCTGCTTTGGGTTTACTGGCAGGCCGCAAACAACTTCACGGCGTATACTGCCACCAGCCGCTTTCACACCAAGTACTTTGCCGTACTTAGTGCCGGCACTTAGTGCCCCAGGGCACTAAGTACCAATCGCGTTCACACCGGAGTACTTTTCCCTGAGGGAAGATTACGCAAATGAGCAGCTGACGTCACTTCTTCTTCTTCTGCTTTGGGTTTACTGGCAGGCCGCAAACAACTTCACGGCGTATACTGCCACCAGCCGCTTTCACACCAAGTACTTTGCCGTACTTAGTGCCGGCACTTAGTGCCCCAGGGCACTAATGGCGCATTTCCACTACACGGTCGGCCTCGGCCACACTCGGTACGGCTCGGTACGGCTTGGCCGCGTTGGGCCTTAACAGGGCCGACTCACTTCATGCTGCGCTTCCATTACAGTTTAGGAACTGGGGTAGTTACTATAGTAACGCAGTGTAGGCGGAGCCGTGACGTCATCTTCAATGAGAAATCCAGAAACACAACACAGCCGTTAGCTGTGAGCACTCAGAGCTCACAGCTCCTTATATATGTTCAGAAACTCGACAAAAGTTAAACAAGTACACACCACAGACTGCCTGTGTCATGGTGAATACAGTCGCTGCCTTATTTATGTCTGTATAGGCCGTTGTTGTGAGTGTGGACGGTCGGGGCATATACTGCGTTAGCTTAGCCAATCTCCATCTAGAAAAACACGAATTTTAAAAGGTTTTTCGCCTGCCGTCTGTCTGCAGACTTGACAAAGCATTAATTCATGGTTTTTACTAACCGGTATCAGTATGTTGTTACTTCGGCATCATTTTGAAACGTGTATTACAATTAAATCACGGTCAAATATGTCCATCTTGTTGTAGTTCTAGCCCTCTTGCCAGCGCTCCTCTCTCTAGTTTAGCATACTCAGCCCGACTCAGCCCTGTTTGTTGGCCCCGATAGAACCACAATTTTCTAGGGCCAGAAAAGAGGGGAAAAAGTGGCCCCGCGCCGTGCCGCGCCGGAACGAGGCCTAGTGGAAGCACAACCAAAAAAGGGGACGGCACGACACGGCACGCTTAAAGCGAGCTACGCGCTGCAATGGAAATGCGCCATAAGTACCAATCGCGTTCACACCGGAGTACTTTTCCCTGAGGGAAGATTACGCAAATGAGCAGCTGACGTCACTTCTTCTTCTTCTGCTTTGGGTTTACTGGCAGGCCGCAAACAACTTCACGGCGTATACTGCCACCCGAAGTCCCCGGCCGGAAGTTCCCGGAGTTGGGGACTGGCTTCAGTAGAAGCTGCTGGGACTCCCAGCAGCTTCTACTGAAGCCTTCCGAGTAAATCGCCAGAACGCCGACACCTCCTCATCACTCCACCGCTCCCATGGTGTTTTTTGTGTTGCCATAAGTTATTCTCTCTCCGTTGGTGCGCGGGGCTAATGCTAATGCTAATAATGCTAATGTCACAAATACAATGGCGGCTTCACAAAACTTTTCAGAGTTTTACGGGGAGTGGTTTGCAATTCGCCCAGCCAATAGAAATTGGTACTTTTTTGGTACCACCTCTCTAGCAGGCACTAAAAATGGGGGTAAAAGTTCCCGGCACTAAGTACTCTTTTTGGTGTGAACGCGACATAAGGGGTACTAATGGAACTAAACGGGAAAAGTACGGGGAAAAGTACAGGGAAAAGTACGGGGAAAAGTACTCCGGTGTGAACGCGCCTAATATGTTTACACTGATGTTACAACTTCTACTTAAGTTAAAGATCTGAGTACTTCTTTCACCACTGAACACATGCATACGCAGTTATGATTTCAATTACATTTTTGTACCTGAGGGAAAACGTTGACTTTATCCGGATTCTTTACCTGGGTTGCGTTGGTCAGTCACTACACGACCCTGTGTGCCAGGCCAGTGGATCAGGTAGAGGTCAATGTAGCCCAGGTCCAGCTGAGCCAGGCTGCGGAGTGCTCCTTCCATCGCTCCCTCCCCCTGATCCTTGGGGCCCAGCTTACTGCAGGGAGAAAGATCACATGATCAGGGTTATATACAGCAAACGATTTAGTTTCGAATCAATAATCAAATATTCCAGCTGCATTCTATATGTATGTTTTAAATGAGTTATGGACCAACCCATGTATATCACCTTGTTATGAACACATCCTCTCTGGTTAAGCCATGTTTGGGAAGGAGCTCCTTCAGCACTCGGCCCAGGTCAGCTTCATTTCGGTAGACGGCTGCACTGTCAAAAGACCGATAACCTGCCGCCAGCGCTGCATCCACAGCCTGATAGACATCTTCAGGACCCACCAACTTGTAGGTCCCCAGACCCAGGAGGGGCATCTGAACCCCAGTATTTAGGAGCACGGAAGGTGAAGAGGAGGAAGACATCTGATTGTGCTTTTTGGCACCCTGTTAGGACAGTTGGTCTACCACAAACTGGTAAAGGGAGAGATAGTTAGGTAAGAAATACATAGAAAATATTAATTTACTTCAATGAAAAATCAGTAACTGTAAATACAATTGTACAATGTTCCATGTCCTACAGCTTTCTGTGTATTACAGAAAGGCATTCCCACCATAAACATGATCCTGGGAAAGGACCCTGGAGTCCCTTGCCCTAATACCATAGGGAACTGGGTAGGAATGCCACTAAATAATGATTAAAGATTATAATCTCACCTTTTAAGCCTTTTCCCTTCAATTAAAAGAGGTGAATAAGAAGGCAATAGCATGTCGCGTTTCACGTTTAAAAAAGTAAGTCAAAAGTTCATAAAGGCAAACGTGAAATTACTTCTAATGTTTACAACTACTCCTTCCTGCTATGCGTGGTCACATGACAGACATGTGATCTTTGAGGCGGTTTTCTCATGGGTTTTCTCCGTCACCATAGTAGGCTCGTTTGAGATGAGCGAGAACGACGCAGACCTGCGCAATTGCGACCGCCGTCTTGCTAGTGCTTTGCATGAAGGTTAGTAATTTTGTCCGACTTGCTCACTTGATGAGACTGCATGAGACGTTGAAATCTCGCGGGACAAAGACGCCGGCAGCCACTCCGAGCTGTCCGACTTCAGGCGAGCTTTTTGAGACCTCCCCCAGCTGCAATCGGCAGCTCATCTCAAACAAGCCTAGTGACTCCTGCTCTGCCGCTGGTGATTGGAAGAAAATCTAGCTTATCAAAGTAGGCCTAACGATCCAAAGGCGGGAACTCACTTCTTCCAGCGAATCATGGGGCGAGGAGCGTTTGATTGACGGTCATGGTTTTAACCGTTGGCGTGCTGGTGGTGGAGGGGGAGGTACATTGCTGCTAGACGACCTACCAACTTCATGCCCACCGTTTCTCTAGATATTACGGTAATTTCAATAGAGCGCGAATGAGAAAAACAATATTTTTGGCAGTTATTTCATATACTAAGTAAGGAAATGTTATCGCCATAAATATTGAATTATAAATGTGTGCAAGCTAGTTAGCTAAATCAATTTAACATTTCCGGTTATGTTGAACTGTATGTTGGTTGCCCTCTGAACCAAAAGTCCATCAATAAATAAATGAATAGCTTGTTTTTGTGATTTTGTTTTCCAAATCATGTCAGGTCAGTCATGCCACTGCAGGCCTTCTCCTCCACTTTTGCTGAAACTCGATTCTTCAGAGCTGGCAGTTTTATCTACAAGTTCAAGATAAGAGGAGGCTGCAGCTTCAGGCAAGACACACATTGTCCTTTACATCTTCACAGCCCCGCCTTATTTCTTGATATATGTTCTTCCCTTCTCCTGTTCTCTTTGTTGATAAGAGCGAGACAAGTCAGCGGATACATCCCAAGACAGCCCAGTACAGTCTTGCTGTTTTACTCGAGGCTTAGCCTAAAGGGGAGCAAAGAGAAAAAGGGACTATTGTGACATAATGAAGGAACCAGTCCAAAACCAGGCCAGCTGGGATTACTATGCTAGTAATAACATTGTCTAAAGTAGCTGTTAGTTACTGGTCGCACATCTTGGTGCTTATCATTCAAATAGTGATAAGCGTACCTTAAAAAAAAGAGAGAAGGCTCTATTAGAGCAACTAAAGACAGGAATTATTTTCCTTCTTTCTTGAAATCAGAGAAAAACAACACTAGCCCATAAGCCAAACAAACAACAGTAAGACTATTAATGGTATCCACTCTTATCTCCTTCCCTACTTTCCTTTCCTTTTTCCCCTCGAGATTCAATCCCGCAAAGCATTGCAAAATGTTCCTAAATCTTAAAAGCAGTTGGGGAGATGGCTGAGCTTCAGGCAACAGAGGAAACATTGATCTTTTCTCTCCATTTTAACTTGTTTTCTTCTAACACTACTGCCTGTAATGGCTGCTGACATTCTGATGTGTGTCTTATTTTGTTTCATCTGTGAAAAGAGAAGAAAAAGTGGATCAAAGGCCCCATGGGATCTGTCTGCTTTGATTCAGGGATAAAGCCTTAGAATAAAAGTCCTAACTGATCCTGAAATGCCTTAAGGCTGCAGAAGCTTTTCAGAAAAAAAAGTGTAAAAAGCATATTGTGATGTGTTTATTTTTCATCAGGGGAGAAGAGGTCATGGGAGGAAACTGCTTCAATCAGGAACTGGAGGTAATTATGGGCGCTGCACAGCACTCACATGTGTTTTGTTCACACTATTCTTAAATTAAATGTCTAATTTCACACTTAACTGATCCCTTCTTGTTCACAGTTTTCTTTTTCCTTTCTAACTCCCTCTTTTTCTGTTTTTAGGAAATTATCAGAACGGTTCTTGGCAACCTGGACAGTCTCCAACCCTTCTTTAGTGCCCACTTCAATATCTTCCCCTGTATCCTTTGACATATTTTATTCATGAACAGTATTTATTTTTCAGTCAGCTTTCTACCTATCCCATTGCTGTGTATCTCTCTACCACACTTCCAGCCTGTGTCACCTTTAAACATGGGCACGAGCTCACCAATTTTCACCAAGTGCATGACACAACTAAAGTTCAGTCTTGAGATCACCATAATTCATTTTGATGCTTTAGCAAATTGCACGGTAGCATCTTTGTTCATTATACTGCAAAACACAGATCAAGGAATACATCTCCTGAAGCATATTCACTGGATATTACCTGTATTTTGTTAACCGTGAGTACCAGATAAGAAGCGGTGGGAAGGGGCGCGTCAGGTGGTGCCCAAACACGGTGACAGGAAGCTGGCAGCCTACCCCTACTGCCTGACCCTCTACCTGGAGAAAAACATGCAGCATGGTGAGGGCTGGGAATTCATAAAGGGGGAACGAATAAATGTTATTAGCACAAAGACATGGGCATCTGTTTTTAACTGATTGTCCTGCTGATGTAGCTGTGTGATACAGAACAGACATTGTAGGTCTTAGTACAGAACAGTACACAAACAGACACACAACATACAGTACTATCAGGCGCTTTGATGGCTCACATGTAATGTATCTTGCAGAGGAAGCAAAGCAAGCAGAGGAGAAGCTGAGCTCAGTGAGTCACACAAAACATAGATGAAATGTAGGGTTCATGTTTTACTATCAAACCGTCTTTGTATCTAGTAAAAGGTATAACTGCTGCATGTTTTCTAGGAGAAAGACGCTGCTGTTTCTGAGCCCCGGTCAAAGCGCTATAGAAGATGTTCACCACTAGAGGAGGCCATACTAAAGGACTTCAACCAGGATTTTGAGACTAAAAGCAAGGCTTCTGCGGTCGGGTGAGTGTGTTTGCAGTAACCTGAAGCTACATTTACTCTCACATTTAACCTCACAGGGAACCACGACTAAGTGTTTAGAAGAGCAAATAAATGTATGCATTGACTAAAAACCTACCCTGTGGTTGCAAAGAGGGTCACATATGGGCTCCTTAGTGAACTTTATGAGTTTAAGATTTGTTTCTGAATATGTATTGTCTATATTTGACCAAAATCTAATACTAACAGTAGTCGTATGCACCCGAATATGCACTTATATTTCACAATGTGGCGATAGAAAGAAGTGTTTTTATTCATAAAATCACTGGGACATCTATTCTGCCCTGCTTCACACACAGAAACACACACACACACTAACACAGAAACACACACACACACGCTCCAGTGATTCTTGCAGTTATGACACAGACAAGAGGCGAACGGGCGCCACCTCAATCACACTGACAGTCAGATCAGTGGGGCGCAAATGATGATTTTAGAAGCACACACACACAATAACTAGTTTGTGTTAAACTTATATAAACAGAAGTGTCTCTTCTTGAAGGACACACACTCAGATGCACAAACTGTGTAAACATCCTGCAAGCAGCAGAGCCTCAAGCATCATTACCAGCTCACAGGAAATCAAACTCTCATTGCATTATATTCACCACGCTGACCATTACACTTACATGTCCTTACAAAGGTGCTACACAAATACAACACACACTTGTATTCTCACAGGCTGTGAGTGATGCCCTGGAGAGACAGATGGTTTGTTTTCCTGTTAAACCTGCTGGAAAAATGGGAACAGAGAAGAATGAGTTTGAAAATGACTCAGTGAGCAGTCAGACTTGTCAACAAGGGGCATCTAACAGAGAAGTGTTGGTGTTGGCTGCGTAATCCGCCATTTAATCTAACATCATCTAACTGAAGGTCTTTGGAGGCCATGCACTTTGGAGGCACGAGACCCACCAATTTACTATTTGAAGATGAGCTTTTTTAAACCTTGCAAAGTGGAGCCCCGTTGTTCATTGACAAAAAAAACAGACTATTTTCAGATTTATTTCTTGTAAATGTATTTATTGTTTTTTCTTTGATTTCTCGCAAATTTACGGGATAATATTTAAGTTTTTTTCTGGTATATCTGTGACTTTTTAAATGTATCGTTACCACTTACATCTGAGAGAATATCCTCTCTTTTTTCCATAAAGGTATGACTTAGAAAGTAGAAAGCTTAGTTCCTCATGTATTTTAACTTGTTGTTTTTTTATGTCCAACTCTCAGCAGGCTCTCTCTGGATCGTCCACATACACTCAGAGATGCAAAAGAAGATGCAGGATGCTTTGATGAGGTGATTTTTTAATTACGTCTACAAAAAAAGTCCACATCAAATCTAACTGCTTCACTGATTTGACACTTTCCTAAATGTCAAATGAAGTAATTTCATCCCACAGTTGTTCTAAATAAATTGAATAACACATGTCCTTCTAATTTTAGCCATTCGTTTCCTCTCTACCACATCTATAAACACACTCTTGGAGCATCTCTGTCTGTATTGTAGCCCCAAGCTAACATTTGTGCAGACAGGTAGCATAACAAGTGTGATTAAGGTGAATAAAAGCATTACATCAGGCACAGAGTGTGTGTTTCTGGGTAATTGTGCTCCCTCCTCATCTCATCTGATCCTGGTTTCTTTTACTCCTGTCCACTCTTTTTCCCCTCACATTTGTTTCAAGTGGAAAAAAGGATTTCAACTAATCGTGTTGAGCTTTAAAAAGGATTACGCTTGAACAATGAAGGCGGTCATTAAGTTCATGGCACAAACCCACTCATGAGAAATGTCAAAAGACCAAGAGACAATATTCGGGTTATCAAAAGTACATTCTTAAGCTCATGAAGAAGTCCAATTGACCGTTAACTGAGCCCCACCACTCAGATGTACTGTTTATATGCAAAAGCCTGATTTTAACCTCTGTCTCTTTTAGTTTTTAATATTTTTGGCCAGAAACTGCATTCTTGAAATGCTGAAATGGCAGATAAACATTATTTTGTAAAAGACAAGAATCCAAACTCTATTTATGGTTTTTGCTCGTACCACAGACGCATGTACACTGCTTAAACTTATAAATAACTCTAGATCTGCATTAGATACATTTGCAAAGCTAATCTGGGACAAGTCCTTTTTGGTGGGAGGTGTGAGCAAAAGGTGAAATAAAATACATTTGACTACTATAACTGTAAAATAGATTTTATATTCTGTCCTTTTATTCTCTCCCTCAGAAAGACGCACCGCAGCAGAAACCAGGTGTCACAGTGAGAGGAAGTGGGACTCCAGGTGATGTGCATTCTGGGACAATAGAGCCCATGGAAGAGGATGAGGAAGAAGATGAAGAAGAAGATGAAGAGTCTCACCCTGGGACCCCTGAGAGGGCAGGCATTCTGAGTCGACTAGCCAGGTCTGTATGAAGCCCCTGAGCAGCCATACTAGCAAACAGGGATTTGTTAGCATGCTAAAAGCTAACGCTGAGAACAACATCATATCAGTGAATTGGCAAACAGTAAGCGTAAGACTCATACCTTCTTCAGAGATGAGGGTGATGTCACTGTTTGTAGATATGATTGACTTCAACACTCACAGGAGAAACAAGAGCTAATTGTTGCTGCACATCTGAAAGAAGAAGGTTGACAAAGATTAAAATGGATCGGGGAAATCCAGCTATTATAAGCACAGAGATGACAATATTCCTGGTTGTGTTGAGACAGGCGGAGATGACCTGAGGCGCTCAGAGAAGCAGCTCCGCTCTGACACAGCATGCCAAACAAATGGAGTCTTTTCCTGGTAATAATGATATGCAGTAGCCATTAATCACAGTGCGTTAACGTTATCTGTCTCCCTCTCTGCAGCCATGTCTTCCCCTTCTCCCTGCTCTTTGGAGACCCCTGAGGGCCACGGCACGGAGACAGGAGCTGTTACTGGGGAATGAAGCGGAAACTCGCCGGGGTTTGTTTAGTTCATGTTCTGCACAGAGAACTCAGGATTTGTTTTTTCAGGAACATTTTAATAGACCTGTTTGTCTCCCTGTATCCTCTTTTAAGAATCTGTTATATAAGGGTCATTATTCATTATTCCTATTGTTCAGACTTATGTAAGATTTTCTAATTTATTTATATATCTTAAGTATATTTTAATAAAACTATTACGTGCAGAGTTCTTTATGTGAGTTTTCTGTTGCAGCTCTTATAAGCAAATAAAGATTTTGCTTCCTTGTTTCCATTGGTAGTTTTTTGTGATTTGTATATAGCATCACCTGCAATAACTCTCTTTCAATCAGTGTGAATTCATATATATGGACATTTTTTCTTATCGATTAACTTTCATGAACTCCGACCCCCCTCCAAATCTAACAAAAGAGCAGCATGTCTTTTATTTCTTGGTTTCCCATCTTGAGTTCTGTTAGATTTAAATTGCCTTCATGATCTGCGGCCCCATTTGCATCTGATCTCTTTTCTTTGCCTACACACTGCTTTAATGATGTTTTATGTTAAGCAAGTGTTTGTTATGAATAATGTACCAGTTTAATTCATCAAACTCATCTTTCATAGGAGTGCGCTGGGTGTTTAATTCATGTTAGCACATTCCAACGGACAATGCCCGCTTATTTCCACTCTTTTGTGTGTGTGTGTGTGTGTGTGTGTGTGTGTGTGTGTGTGTGTGTGTGTCCTCATAGGTGCACACCTTGAGCTACAGTTTGTATCACCTTGTGGAAACTCCACTTTCCTCCTGTCAATCTAAATAAGCTAAGTGTTCTATCTTTGTGTGTGTGTGTGTGTGTGTGTGTGTGTGTGTGTGTGTGTGTGTGTGTGTGTGTGTGTGTGTGTGTGTGTGTGTGTGTGTGTGTGTGTGTGTGTGTGTGTGTGTGTGTGTGTGTGTGTGTGTGTGTGTGTGTGTGTGTGTGTGTTATGGACTTTTTTAGCTGACTTGAGACTGTATATGCACATGTTAATTTAAAGATCTTTCATGTTTCTCACCTATTTGCAAAAGAAACATTGAAAACATCTGGGTAGAGATTTCCTCTATGAATGTGTGTGTGTGTGTGTGTGTGTGTGTGTGTGTGTGTGTGTGTGTGTGTGTGTGTGTGTGTGTGTGTGTGTGTGTGTGTGTGTGTGTGTGTGTGTGTGTGTGTGTGTGTGTGTGTGTGTGCCCGTGTGCATGCTTGCATGTGTGTGTGTGTGTATACGTCGGGGTAAATGGGTCAACTGGACTCGAACATCATCTCAGAAACAGGAAAACTTTGCCTAATCCTCTCCTGACATTGTCATAGAGCCCAAAATAACACACACATAATCTTACACTAACGTCTACTTACACACTTTGACCACACACAATATCCTGTCAGACATAATGATACATATAAAATAACACACTCACACATCATACACTGCAGCACAGACACACACATGCATCATATACTTTCACACACACACGCTGAGATTAGAATAACAGGGCAGAAGTGGAAGCGGACACATTAATGATATTATAGTTATTCAAGACGCCACGGTTTCCACGGCAGCCGAGAGCGACGGGGCCACTCAGCGATACAAACATCAGTCACCCCGCTGACTCACACTGGAGAAATGTGTGTGTGTGTGTGTGTGTGTGTGTGTGTGTGTGTGTGTGTGTGTGTGTGTGTGTGTGTGTGTGTGTGTGTGTGTGTGTGTGTGTGTGTGTGTGTGTGTGTGTGTGTGTGTGTGTGTGTGTGTGTGTGTGTGTGTGTGTGTGTGTGTGTGTGCATCTCAGCTACAAGAGACTCCAGTTTAACAAAGTCCATTCACATCTAATTCTCTCCTGATGAGGTGCTGTGGGCCACTCAGATTTATAGTCTCTTTCTCTCTCCCTCTCTCTCTCCCTCCCTCTTTCTCTCTCCCTCTCTTTCTCTCTCTCTCTCTCTCTCTCTCTCTGGTTGGCATGGAATCAGAAGAAACACACTGCAGCTCACAGTCAACACACTAATTTACTAGTTTAGTGTGTGTACATACGTGTGTGTGTGTAGGTGGGGGGTTTAGGTGATGATGTCACACATTCCGTTTTCCATTGACATAACGGTGTTTTGGGATGGAGGGGCCATAAGATGATAATTGTGTTTTCCTTAGAAAAGTGTGTATGTGTGAGGATGTGAGTCAGTGTGAAGCGCTGGGAGCCAAAGCATCACCATCTACACTAAATCATTAACGGACAAAATGGTATTTAGTAACATTTTTGTCCATGTTGTTCATTTGGTTAACTAAAAATGAGACAAAACGATGGTGAGACGGCACATAAACGTCATTAGACACTAACTGGTGACATAAACATGTGTTATTGATGACGCAAGAAGACTAAAATGCAGTTTGGACATAAGATCTTTACCAAAAACAGGGTGAGAATAATTCAATATGATAAAAAAACAACTAATAAGGACATTTGACAAACAAGAAGCTGACAAACTTTATTTTTTAATGTATTGTAAAAGGAAGGTTTTAAGAATAGGGCTGGAGTTATTCTGTATTATTCTAGTGTCAAATAAAAAAATATGTTAGTTTATATCCCTATACTATCTGTGGCAGTTGGCCTACAGCAATTCTTTTCTACTAATATCATATATCTAAACATATATCTTTACAAAGAAAAAAAGTCCCAAATATATGGCTTCATTTAAAAAAAGAAAAGAAGGCTAATCATCTATTACAGCTAGTGATTGTAGTTTTTTAGGAAACAAACGCCAGTACAATTTGGATTAGTTTTTCAGCTGAACATTAATACACATTTGATAGTCGAGTGAGTTTATACAGCAGCAGTGTGTATTTTAGATTGAATATAAATAGAAATGTGTTTTTATGGTTCATTTAATGGAAGAAATTCATGTTTGTGTTGTTATTTTATTGAATTTTGTTGATAATACGTCTTTGTAGGTAAAAGTTGGATTGAATTTTGGCTGTGTTTTGTGAAAAGTTCTGCCAGCACATTAAATCAACATTCATTTAAAGCAGATATACTCAAATTGGTTCTAGTGTGGTGATATACCTTATTCTCATTATTGGAATGTACAACAAGTGTTTCTTTTGAGATCTTTCATGTTTTAGGACTTAAATGTAGATCCTGTTCTTTGCCATGAGTAAAACACTCAAAAAGAATCAATCAGATCCTTTTGTTTCCTGGATGAATTACATATTAACGGTTAGTTTTTCTTGGAACTGTTTGGAGAGTTGTTTAAAGGTCATAACAAACGTCTACAGTTTGTATTTCTGGAAGAATCGCCTCCAGCTGTCCCGAGTCTGATTCACAATACAAGACAGATGTGGAGCTCTTGCTAAAGCTAAAAACATACAATAAAACAACTATTATTACTGCAATATAATAAACTGCATCTGGGAACCAACCAAAGTATTACGCTGAAAGAAAATGTGACGCGGCAGTGACTGTTTTGTGACTGTGATTTTGGTCTTTGACTTCTTAAATCAATTCTCCTCGCAGTAAATCAAAATCTGTCAAATATATTATTATATTTATGGCCCAATATCAGTGGGTGTCGTATCTCCGTGGGCGTTATAGACCCGCACTGGCAACAATTCCCAACCCAGCCCAAATTCTCCCGGGAGACGTGGAAAAACTCATTGAAAAACCAAAGACGTAACCTCGGGAGATTCAGATCCTTTGCTCTTCCAGTAAGTATTACATCTGTTTCCTCACCCTGAAAGCCACTTTAACCACAAGGGCACAAAAGACACTCATTTTGGGACATTTTAATGTCATCTGTGGTCCGATTGGAACGTCAGTGACCTTTGTGACATGTCACCGAAGTGTCCAGAAACTGCCCAACAAATAATCAAAGTTTAATAAAGGAATAACCCGCTGTAGTTCGGACAGTGCGGTTGCTAAGCTGGCTCCCTCCTCCACATTTTACCCATCATGTGCCACACAGAGTTGACCCAAAGCAACAATATCTTCTGACCCGACTCTGCCCTTCCTCCTGCAGCCACAAATGGAAAACCCAGGCAGTGTGTGTGTGTGTGTGAGGTCTCCCACTCACTTTATTTATTAGCATCAATCAGGCCGAGAAGATAATTGTTTGTGTGATTTTGCGTAGCCTGTGCGTAGCCTGTGCGTAGCCTGTGCGTCTCTGTGCATGTGTGTGTGTGGTAAAGCTGTGTGTGTTCTCACTATTGTGGTGGTGCGTTGATGGAAAACCTATCTAGTTTTCCTCTGTGTCACAGCCGTGGTCCCCCTAAAGGTTGAAATCAGAGGGGGAGGGTGCAGGGACAGAGAGAAAGACGCTTACACACACCAAGAGGAAGACGTTAAAGAAAAGAAGGCAATTTTAATCATTTTTTGTAATCATTTCACTTTTTGCGTGCAGGTTGAGAGAGAGGGACTTGTAGAAAAGAAGGGAAAACATTAACACACTGTCAGCTCTAATTGTGGGTGTGTCCACAGCTATAAGTGCCTTCACTCTTACCTGTGGTACTTATATCCCTGCATGAGGCGAGCAGACACACACACCTGTCAGTCGACTCACCTGCACTCCAGAAGCTAAACTCTGCTCCACATCTCCAGGTAAGAAACACTGAGCTGCTTTTTACACCTGGAATGAAATTGAATGCATCATGTTGGTGGAATAGACCTTTAAATCATCTGTTTCTGTCTTGAAATAGTTGCTTTCTTATAGATTGTAATCTTTTTTTTGTTATTTGAATTGAACATGGAAGGGGGGTCCATTCTTATTCTGCAGAACTCTTCCCTGTAAGTTAATAATAATAATAACAGTTCCACTGCATTCATGCACATTTTTATATTGCCCAAGTAAAGCTTATTTCATTATTTTTAAAATTAGCATAAGTTTTGCTGTGTTTAGAGGGTTTTATTATGAAACTACTGACTACTCAGCTGTCTTCTACTGTCATGACAATAGGTGTTTTTGTAAAACCCAGTATTGTTTTTATCTAGATGCTGGACTATAAAGATATTTTGTAAAGAAAATGGATTATACTGTGTGTCTCCTTTTAGTCTGTGCTATTACTAGACAGTATTCTTTGTGACCATTTTAACTTAGCAGAGAACATGCATGGGGATTTTTCTTACTTAAAAAAATAAAACTGTATTGAACTACATCCTATTGGCATTGTTCAGTGTCCAGTTTATATAGAAGGGGTTTCAGGCACTTGACTTGGCAGAAAAAGCTGACTCCACTCATGTATCTATATCAGCTATTTATAGTATTCAAAATAAAAATGTCACCTGCAGCTTTTGGGTCTGCACCTTACATGAACTGAGGTGTTCAAATACTGTAATGTACATTGAAGAGAATTAAGAAGTCCTATTTCTCCTTTAACTTTCCTAATATCTGTAATATCCAAATCTAGATCCTTGTAGCATTTTGCTGCCTTTACAGTTCTGAAGGGCGTTTTAAGAAAGCTTAAGGAAGAGTTTTTTTGTGTCATTAATTCCTTCTATTCACACCTTTAAAATGATCTTTAAAGGCAGCACTGAGAACATGATTTTGACAATGTTTTTGGTAGTGTGTTTACAATATCTTTAAGGATCTAAGAGTATTCATTCTTTGGGCTGTTTTGGTGATCTTGGTCTATATTACAACCCACTTTCCTCAAAGACAAACCTACCCTTCAGGCGTGGAAACCCCACATAAGAGGAAAAAGCGGAGCATTTCCCCTGCCTCTCCAGCTGACACGGGGTTAATGAGCTCACACACACAGTCCTGACCCGTTAATTTGCCCGTGCCACCGGCGTTAATGGCGTCCCCAGGGGTCCTTCCACCATCACCACGGAGGCAATTCCTCCCGTCGGTGGGAAGTGGGGCTGGAAAGAGCTGCCATTTTACAGGGCAAGGGTCAGGATCACCAAATTCTCAGGAAAACATGACTTTATTGTTTACACACGTGTTGGAGTGTGTGTGTGTGTGTGTGAGGGGGGTGTGAGCATATATGCACACATACATGTTCCCATTCATGCTTATGTGGGTTAACAGGGAAAAGACTGATGCCTTACTCTATTTTAAAGAAAGCTTTGTATTGTGATTATGCTACCGCTGCCGTGTGTGCAGCTATGTGTACGTTTGCACGAGTCAGTCAGTGTGAGCTGTGTACGTATACGTGTGTCAGCAGGTAGCTGTGAAGTGAGGCTGACACAAAAGATGAACTCTGTATTGTTTTTATTCACATTAGCTGTGACACACCGGCAGGCAGACGAGCAGGGTGGGAAATCACCCTGGTAGATAAGGGAGGGGGCTCTGGGCTTTGATTTGAGGGGAAAGTTCAGCAGGAGAAGATCACCTCAGGTTGAGGGAACTCAGGGTTTGAGAAAGCTGCGGCTCCTTTCGTTTATTCAACTCATTAAACAGGATTAACTAAACTCACAATTTTAACTAAAGTGAAAAATGATTTGTGTGTCCACATCATGATTCAGATTCGCTCCTAAGTCCTACCTTTTCCCATGCTACAGTTTCATTTCATTTAAAAAACAAAACTGGTGTTCTTGTTCAGTTTGTTTGTAGTAAAAGTCTAAAGAGGATCAACTCTTGCTGAGATTGGAAAAAAATATTTGTTTTGCTTGAAAACCTCTTAAAGACCATTAAATGTCAGATTTTCTATAAATCCTAAGGTCTTACCGTACATACTTTGCTTTTTTGTTTGGGTCCTCCAGGCTGCCGTCCAGATGTCGCTGTGCACAACTTCACATTTCTGCATGCTGGTCCTTCCAGTGATGTCACTGCTGCTGTTCTTCTCTCCCATTGGTTGGAGCTACGATGGCCTCACCCCAGGGTGTCACCTACATCGTAAGTAACCCACTGCCTTTCAAGCCAAAACCGCATACATTTATTTGCACATTTTCCTTGAGTTTTTTTTTAACTCCAACTCTGCGGCTTATACCAGTTTATTGCAATAAATATAACAGTGTTGCTATATTACTTACAGTCCCACACACGTACACAGTGCTTGATTCCCTCCACCCTTTCTCCTCTCTCCAGCCTTCAACGTGACTATCCGCAGTGACCGCCGCGGCACGTGTAAAGGCACCCACCTGGTCTACGCCTGTGTGGGCTACTGTGAGTCCAGCGCCTTCCCCTCCAGATACTCAGTGCTGGTGGCCTCCAACTTCACCCACAACATCACCTCCGCCTCACGATGCTGCACCATCAGCAAGGACGCTAAGGTAAAAAACTACCTTCCAAAACAAAACAAAGGCAATGTCAGTAACTCTACATTTTGGCACATTTTTAATGTCTGGCTTTTCCCACCTCAGGTCAAAGTTCGCCTGGACTGCCCTCGAGGTCGTCACCATGAAGAAATAGAGATCCTGACCGCAAAGGCGTGTCGATGCGACATGTGCCGCAAGTCCCGCTACTGAGACATCAAGACAATATGCTGCAGTGTACCATAGGACCAAAAACTAATTTAGTCAGTTAAGCCGTAGAAACTTAAAAATGATTGAAATACAGGTGTTTCAGGGATAAACCATCATTTTCCTATCTCTACTCTAAGTATTTTGAATGTTGAAGAAAATGCCCTTTAAACTATTTAAGTGAAAAATAATCAACTAAATTACTGTAAATTAATTAATTAATTTCCTTCATTCGTGTTCTGAAAGAATAAAAAGAAGGTGGATGGAAAATAGCCAAAAGATGAAGGGTCTATGCAGATCTCCCATGTCATCAAAAATGTTTGACTACATTTAAGTATAGGCAGAGTAACCCCTGCTCACGATTATTCCCCAAGAACATTAAGATTTAAATGAGAAATTCACATTTTTAAAAGTCTAAAAGATTTGTGTGAGTGTGTGTTTGCGTGTTTTTGTGTGATGTGTACAATGTGATGTAAGGGAGGTTTTTCAAGAAAACTTGATTGATGCACATTTGTGTTTAAAGGCGATATAAACCATTCTGTCACTCCAGGATTATAACCAATCAAACCCCTAAAAAGACTGCCTTCACCTTATTTAACATGTTCAAATAGGCCAAAAATGAATAACAGCTTTACATTACAGTTAAGACAGTCAAGCCATCTGCATAAAGGTTATATAAACAAATAGTTTCACCCATTGCAATAACCACTAAACACAGACCAAAGAGACCAAAGAATGTACACATTTATTTATATTTATGAATTTGAAACTAAAGGACATTTTGTAAATAATATGTATTAATGAAACTAAAGAATGTTGGAAATGTCAATTTAATGAAAATAATGCACTGTATAGTTTGCAATGAAATTGTAATTCAATAAATGTCTATTCTGCAACAGTAAAGTCATATTGTGGACATTAGATTTTTCTTCTAACTTTCACACATTTTTCCATAAATGAATGAGACATCACATTGACTTGCATTCATTCCCTGGTGACTAACCCTTACCGTAATCATGGCAACTTCATGGTCCCCAACCTTGACCCTGTCCTTAAGCCAAGTCTTGGGCCTCACATTAAAGGTTATACTTTGTGGGGACTTGGATTTTGTCCCCACAATGGAGGAGAGTCCCCACAATGACAGTGGTCCCCAGTTGACCCCTATCCCAGTTTGTGTGTACAATGTATTTGTGTCTGTTTCAGTTTCAAGTAAACACATTAACCTGATTAACATAGAAATATGTGAGTACAATATCAAATTAAATAATTGAAAAAATTGAAAAAGTATTTCAATCCATTTCTAATGTGCAACTGTTAAGTAATTGTTGTGGACATTTGATTTTCATTCTCACTTTACACACACATATGCACTTGTGTCCATCATCTAATAAGACATAAATGAGTTCCCTGGTGATTAAACAATATCAATTTAAATAATGAAGATATTGAAAGATATGGCCTTAAAACTTACTTATTTTTTTACTTTTATTTAACAAACATCATAGTGTATTTAGGGGATTAAGGGATCAACATTATTTCTAATAGACTCGAAGATTCCCGTATATGTAACAGAAAATGTAGTTTTCCCAAAATATTCCCGCCCTTCTCCATCCCCGTTAAAGGTGGGGTAGGTAATTTTGGAGAAACCGGCTCGAGATCGCTAGAATTTGAAAATACACAACCGGAAAAAATCTGCCACTTCCTTACAGAGCCCCTCCTCCAACACACACGAACGTGCACATGACCAATGAGGGCACGAGATAAGTTTGTGCACAGATGGAAGGCTGACAGGCAGGTAGGCCATCCAGTTACTTTAGCCGGGCCGGCTCAAATGATTGGTCGTGCTTTTTACAGTACTACGGCTTCCACAGATTACATTTTTTTATGTATTTATTGTCAAAGCATTTAATATATTCATTGCTATCGGGATATTAAGAGCATTCCATGGAATATAACAAAAAGTGTTTCTGAAATAAATTACATACCCCACCTTTAATACATTATTTTTAACCTCCAATTTTGCTTACATCAAAATCTAAAAACTGATATTTTGAGATATAATGCTTTCTCTGGTATTTTCTTCTTTCTTAAATACAGACATATAATCGTAAACATACACATCGTATACAGAAAGACACACTTTTAGGTGTCAAGAATCACACTTTTTACAATGTCTTATTTTCATAATTTTATTCAGGTTCATTCATTTGAGTAAAACTGTTGATAACATGGTTAGCTGACGCAGCATCCTGCCCCTCAGAATGTCTCACACTCTGCGTCCTGCGTGGAGCAGATGGCGCAGTGGCAGTGCAGAGCCATGGGGTAATGGTAGAGGGGGGAGACGTTGGGCTGGCACCCCGGCAGGCGGGCCGTCATCTGGCGGGTCCGATTGTACGTACACACTCGGTGGTGACGGTGGATGTAGGGAGGATCCAGTATAGGTTTCTACAGGGTTCACACACACAGGTGGCTACTTTGCTCTCCATCAACTGTTTTACTAGACATTACTTTCCCATGCACTAATAATGTCAGTAAATGCAACATGTTTCTGAGATGTCAACCAAATCTGACCAACAGATTAAAAAGGCTAGGCTACAGATACATGTACAAAGGAAAGACCACATCATTGGACAAACACTCCTACTTTAAAGGTCACAAAAGACTTAAACAGGTTTTGAGATATGGGTGAATTTCTTTGGATGGGATTTATGATCATTTGAGTATGCACAGCTGCATGTAAACAGGAATATTAATGGCATATTAAATTCCAATAGCCATGTTAACAGCTTTTAGGAATATTATCTTTTTCAGTATAATCTTTGAATCCTTTTGTGAGTATATACATAATGACTGGAGTTAAGATTTCTTATCATCAGGAGCCTCCCTCTGCTGAGGAGGACAATGAAATGCTGTTGAATGTCCTGGAAAAGTAAGTCAACTTACATCATGATTTTAAACTCTAATATTGACCTTTGCCATGTGACTGTTGTTGCTGATTCAGAGCTCTTTCTCCTCTAATGACTTTGAATCGGACTGAGTTCCCCTAAGATCGTTTTTTAAATGAACTCAGAGGTTACATTTGAATCCCTGCAAAAGAGAACAAGTTCATAAAAGGTTCAGTACCCTCCCTAACTGCCCGGAGGGATTTTAATACTTCTTACGACAATGACATATGGGTCATAGACGAGAATTAGTCATGGGCCTTCTTATGGTTTGGGTTGAGTCATTAGATTTCTTAAGATTCCAGTATTATGGAATCTTTCAACAATAGCAGCGGAAAAAGACTTTGGTTTAATGTGACTTTTGTTCTCTCACTTTTTATATGTGTGTGTGTGTGTGTGTGTGTGTGTGTGTGTGTGTGTGTGTGTGTGTGTGTGTGTGTGTGTGTGTAAATGTTACCTCCCAGGTTTGACAGCGCCCCCAGCAGGCATCTGTGGTGATACGCAGCCCCTTGCAGCCCGGCTTCTGGGCCACGAACGAGAACTCTCTCACGGCGCAACCTCGGAAGCCATGAAGCGGTGTCGTCACGGCAACGCACACCTCTGAGGCCACGGCAACAACGAGGACGAGGAAAAAGACGGACAGGGGATGGAGATACATGCTGGGGATGATGATTGGAGAAAGAAAAAAATTCAAAAAAAACAAAGTAACTTTATCATATATCAATATTTTGCCCAGCTACAGGTGACGTCATGCACCAGTTCAAGGTATGACATTTATGTTGTCATATTAACAGACTAAAATATTCAGTTTGGCCTCTTAAATGAAAAAATTATGAATTGCTGGAGGTGTTACAGCCAATATTGTACATCTATAAAGAAAGATGATCCACAAAGCTGAATTTCAGAGCAATGTTTTGACATTCAGTATGACTCTCAACTCCCTCTAGTGTTTGTTATGCTAACTGTAGTCAATGGTACTAGTGACCTATACTAAAAATGTAATACCCATTTTTATCCAAACTAAAAATAGAGTAAAACATTTCTAATTATACTACAAATGACAAATCGGGAGTGTAGTTACTTAACACATAAAAAGTAGTTTTCTTTTCTTGTTTCAATCATTTCTTTAATACTACTGGAGACATCTGCTTAATTACTCTTCAAGCAAACCACTTAAAGTGCGCTGTAAACCGACTGGAATCAACTCAACTCAGCCAGACTGTAGACTGCCCGACTTGAATGAAGAAATATTACACTGAAATAAAAATACTTTCTGCATGATGTGGATACTTTTATAGGCAATGAGACACCCCACTGTGAGTACAATGACTCCACATAGGCTACGAAAAGTGCACTGTGTAACATAGCCTGGTAACATCATTATGTACACTTTCTGTCCTTTCAGCAGTTTTTAAGACTCTTGAATGAATTATTAAAACATGAATGAACCCCTACATTACTTATTGAATGAAGAAAAAAACACTTCTCACCTTTTCAGCTGGAGATCTTGCAGAGAATGGAGCTGCTGGACTGCGGTGTCTCTCTGTCCGGACAACAAGCAGTGAATGGAACCAATCTGTCCTTGTTGTTGTTTTTAGAAGGCCATTAGGGCGGACGGACACTCTGACATCATAGCAATTACAATGAAATACCATTAGAGACCCCAAGCCAGAAATAATGGAGACTCCCTGGAAAATCCTGATGCTTGTCTATGTTTTCTTAACCTCAGCCTGTATCTCTCTGTGTGACTGTGAGCAGTTCCAACTTTGGGCTACGCTCAGTGATGTGAGGACTTTCAGAACTCAACCTGACACTTACTGTGACAAAGGATTAGTGACATGGGTACAAAGGACGGGACTTTTTAAACTCTTACCGGGTGATTTCAAACTTTTGACACCATGTAATTAGACCAAAAGGCTAGGACTTTAAAAACTCCTGTCAACTCCAAAGTTAAGGGTTTAAACCAGATAATATGAACTAATTTGACTAATTGTCTCCACTTCTGTCACATGGACATCTTCTCAAAGTTGCATACAATACAATTTTGCATGTGTAAGCCCCATAAAAAAAATATATATACTTAACATGACAGTTTTTCAACATTTTGCAAACCATGTTGCTTTAGACTTTTGGGCATGTTTTTTCTGCAGTTAGACAGCCATTGACTTCCATTCACTCTTCCATATGTCAGGTAGCTCTTCATGCAACAGCTATTTGGCAGATTTGATGTTAACTGTGGCACAAATAACACAACTCAACTAAGTTTAAAGTCTACTAATAGATTCTGACCCAAAATGGAAATCAATGGAAATCAATGGTCTCCTGGAAAACTGGTTTTTACAGATATTCAGCTTATAAAGTTGGTAAGATTCGTACATTAGTCAACAGTTGATAATGTACATATTCAGCAGGCAGAAAGCTACATTAGCAATCTCTCCTTTTAGCTCTGTTTTGGTCTCCACCCACTCCGGAGGGAAATATATGGCTATTAAGCTATTCCAGTAGCTAAGTGTTAACTTTACCTGTTGTTTGATGCTAGGCAGATAGTCTACAGTGGGTTTATAAAAACATGCTAAAAGAGGCAAAAAAAAGTTCTTAATGCACATTGTACCTGTTGATCAAAACATACATTTAAGGAAGTGGAATTCATATTATCCAATAGCAATTCATGAATGTTATTTAAGAGACAAAGAGGTGACACAAAAAACAGCAGACTCCCAGAGTGTTTTCTCAAAGTGAAGTTTCATTTTTAGCACATAGTTTTTTTTCTCCATTCTACACCCCCCTGTAATACGTACAGTAGTAAGCCTCTCTACATTCAACCCCCCCACCGCTTTGTTGGTCCCCAAAATATACATCTTCTTCTGCATTGACTTAATCATCTTCTCTAAGGTTTTTCTTCAACACAACAAACACAGACCATTGGGCAGACAGTGCAAATCTAGAAATTCAGTGAAGTTGCTACGTAATGCAGTTGTAGGTTTCGGTAACATTATATTCTCATTCTGTTACTGTTGCTCTGACTTATTGCCATTCTATCGTGTCTAACTCTACGTCTTTTCTCTCCTCTGTCTTTCTCCTCCTGTTTTTTTTTTTAATCTACAGTATACCGGCTGCTTTCATTGAATCCGTTCACACCTCCCCTTTGATTTAAAACATTTTGTTTCAATTCGGCCTCAGAGGGGATATGTGACAGAGAATGAAACCAGCGTCCGATGTCTGTGCGGCGATACCCGAGCTCTCTTCTCATACTTTCCATTTCTGGAGCGGTTCTAGAATTTACGGCAGGTTTCTAGAAGTACAGTAGGAATATGACTGTTGTTTGATATGAGTGAGGATTGTAGAAGAGCGGGAGCGTGGGGTTCCGTTTTCCCCGAGTCAGCTGACCGACTGACAATAACAATCAAGAGGGTTTGTGAGGAAGCTAGCCAAAACTAAAATCATAAAGTAAGCTGAGTTTTATGACAGTGAGGTCAAGTTTTGTCTCTTTTCAGTTGTGTTTTTTTTTTGCCTGAATCAAAACAACGTTTGAAATCCTACAAAAGGGGGCCTTGGTGATGTTTGCAGGTGCAGGCTGCTGTTTCACCTAATGCAGCATTGTATTTTCTGTGAAGGCCATGGAACACGTCATGTGCAGAAACAGGACAGAAATAGGCTTATGTTCCTAAGTTTTGGGTCCTTCAATAAATCATTTAATTTTGGGATGTTCCTTAAATTAAAGCTAATTTGAAATGTTGAAGTTGAGCACTCAATTGGAACAAACACTTGATTTTCTTTTTGCCCAAGACTTATGAATTTTAATAAGGGGGACCTCTCAAGGCTTCTGAAAAAAACATGAAAAAAAAAAACACTCTTTGGTTGATCTCTGTCCACAAACAGGCCTAGGAGTTTTGTTTGTTTGAATGGGTCACAAGCCAGATGGTTGGGAACAAATAGTACATGTGAATTAATTATAATTCCGGTTCCAATTTCAAGCTTTTTCTGGAACTCTTAATTGCATGATATGCCATTAACCATTTTAGTGTCAAATTAGTGAATCCAAGTTCACCAAATTAACTTTCATGCACACATTTGAAAATATGGCTGCCAAATGTGTTAGACTTGAAATTATATGCAAAGCAGCAGTTTTAACATTTGAAAGCAATACGTTTTTTGTTTTTTTCAACAAAGCAATGGAAGAATAGGTGATTGCAGCCTGAAAGGAACACAGTTGGCCAAACTCAGACTTAAAGTGTTCAGAAAAAACCTGGAAAATTGCTTTAAATGCTAAATCAGTCGTGTACAGCTCAATAAAACTTGCCAAGTGGATTTCAAAACCGTGTTGACTCAGGCATGATTGGATGTGAGTTTTAAAAAAAAAACTGCTGGTTTGAAGGGTTTTTGAATGTTTGGTTACGAAGCAGCCGACAGGTAGCTCTGCGTCTCAAGCGTCAAAAAAACAATCAATCGATTTGTTTCACGATACATTCAGATTCAAACCCTGTCCCTCAGGAAGGAGAGAAGGAGAGAGAGAGAAAAAGAGAGAACAGTTTTTCTCTCGTTCTCGATCGCTCTGTCTACACTCGTCTCCTGCTCACTGATTCACTCACCACGCACACGCACACGCACACGCACACGCACACGCACACGCGCACACACACACACACACACACACACACACACACACACACACACACACACACACACACACACACACACACACACACACAACCTGACCATCATCTTCAAATAAGGTTACATTTCCTGATCAAATAGAAAATAAATAGCATCAGTATCAGAATTCCACAAAATGAACAAGATCATACAAAAACAAAGAGAAATTAACAACGTAATTACAAAGCAAAGATTCTTTAAATAAATGTACACAGAAAGTACCTTTAAGACAATGTGAATATCAAGGACGCAACAGGAGTAAAAACAAGAGTGGGGGGTAAACATTTGAGAGTGACACCCACTTCCTGTTTAACCCCCTAAAAAACACAGATTATCCTGAAAGAATGAAAATATTGCTAAAATATTTTTTTTCCAGTTTTTTTTTCCCCTTTCTATTCACCGCGTCACTTTTTCATCATGATCAGACAAGAATCAACTGATTTTTCTCGGTTCACACCAAGTCGCCACCTAGCAGCGTCAGGTCTCTGCCTAAAGGAACAGACGCTCCGGCTCGGAAATCAAACTGGATGTGTGTTTTTCTTTTTAGTCTGAAACACTTGTGGTGCGCTTCATTTGTACCCCGGTAACCTCTGTGTGGGGTGGGGTTTGCTATTATGCATGGATACATTTTTGGTTAGAAATTGGGGGGTTAAAAACTTCAACTTTGCGATAAGTATGGAAGCAAATTAGTACATTGTAAACAAAAAAAGACAATTGTGTGCTGCAAATTTGAAATAAAAGGTACCCTGTGGAGTTTTTGTTTTGATTAAGCGGGCCTGTTATGTTTCTATTACGCACAAGGGGCAATGTGATTCCCATCATGCTACCAGTTTCATGCTATTCCATTGTTTGTGTGCGAAAATGTGCAAAGAAAGTTAGCAGTGTGCTGCTAAAACAGGGAAGAAGAAAAATGCTAGCAGGTAAACATGGATGTAAACAATTAAAGAGTTCAAATATCTAAAAATCAAGTGTTTTATAAGGAGGTCATCACATTTGGTATATGTGTTTTGTTGAGCAACACTGGATTTAAAAACAACTTTGTTTACAAGAAAGCTCCACTTGGCAGCCTAGCGCAAAATTATCTCTAAATATGGAATGTTTTTGGATTTGTTACGAGATACCCCTTTTAAATTAAGCCCGCCGCACCACAAACATCCCGATTTTCAAAGTAAAAGAAAAACAGCCACCACCAGTCCAGTTCATCCCCCTACTCTTTAAGGTCTGTTAAAGGGGAACTCGGCTGAATTCCAGCACTCACCATGATGGCCGCGTACAGCCAACGTGTGAACCCAGAATTCCAGCCGGCCTTCCCCTCTATGGTATCTGCTACACTAGTGTTTCTCCCATAATACACTACAGAAATATCCAGAGACATATGTATATATATAAAAACATTATCATCATCATCATCATCATCATCATCAGTAGTACTTAGAGTAGAGTAGTAGTAGTAGAGTAACAAGTAAGAAGAAGGAACAGTATTGTACTTTATATCATCATCATCATCTTCATCAGAGACTTTAGGTCCGACCAACCCGGCAGAACCAGCTGTGTGTGTATGTGTGTGTGTGTGTGTGTTTGTTTGGGGGTGTGTGGAACAAAAACGGGATGAAATAATTTGATGCATTTTTTTTGTTTGATACATTTTCTCTCTGCTCTGTCTACTCATATTTACAGTAAATATGTACCTGCGACTATGTGTGTGTTTCTGTGTGTTTCTGGTCTGTGCAGCAACAGTTTCGGGACATTTGTGTGAAATTGCTTCCTTTGTTTTATTGATGTATTGTGCTGTCCACGCATGAAATAAGCATCTCTGAGCAAAAGATAAATACGCGGCCACAGTACAGACTCGGTTGGTTAAATATCAAGACAAGTTAGACACGTTAAACTTGGTAAGTGTTGCACCAAAAGAGAAATTTCATCTCTTATTTTGAGGCTGATTTTAAGCAGGCCAGCTACCAATGTTTGGATACTGACCTGCAGTTAGGAACCAGCCGCTGATTAAAATGACAGTCTGCACTTTTGGGCAATATTCATCTTCTGATCTGCGACATGATGTGTGTACAGCAAAAAGTGAACCACTTTCACACAACTCTGTCAGAAAAGAAAGGTGCAGCCTTTACCTCGGATCACTGAGCTTGTGCGCTTTTTCACAAAAAGCCACGCCCTCCATGATACAAGATAAAAAGAGCTGTGGATTTGTTTTGTACCTTTTCTCTCCCAACACTTTTCACCATCAACCTTGTGTCGTCTCCCTGTCCCCTAACCCCGTGCTATCCATTCTCCGTGGAGCAGCACCTAGGTGGCGCTCTCCCCGGCTCCAGAGGAAGAGGAGGCCCCGCTGGGCTTGGGCTCGGGCTGGTCGGAGTGAGCCGTCTGCGGGGACGAGGGGCTCGGCGGGTCCCCTCTCTCGCCTCGCTCCTGGAGGTTTCGCTGGTTCCTGGCGGCCTCTGTGAGCATCTGCATCCGGCGGTCCTGGTGCTCCTCCAGACCCCGCCAGAGATCGGCACGCTCCCGCTCCCTCTTCATCTCTCTGGAGAGGCAGGGGGGGAAGAAGAGGAAAGGAAAAGGATGAAGAGAAAGAAAAGGTGGAGAAGCCGCATATCTGAAACCCCTGGAGATATGTTGCTCTGTGTTGGAGAAACCTTCACACTTTCCTCTTAAATGTCCTTTATTATAATTGTACTATACAGACCACCTACTGCAAAGTCTATGTGCACTTCATTTCAATCTTAAAAGACAAAACATGTGGAAAAAATATCAAAATGTATCTGGTTTTCACAAATAAGGCAGACATGCAGTATATAATCTAATAACAACCATGTCAGATAATAATCTCATTTTAGTTGCAAGGAAATAAAGACTGTAAGCAATTGATGAATACATGGGAACTTAAAAAAGTAAGTTAAGTTATTTAAATGAAGCATGTTTCAATATACTTAAGTAATTCCCCAGGAGCAAAATAAAAACCGCTGGCTGAATAACATCCTTTAAATGAAGACAATAGATGCAGCCTTGACAACATCTATTGAAACAGCTGTGGCAATTGATGGGTTAATATATAAGGGTCTTATAAAAAGTGCAATTTAGGTAGAAGTCTGTCAAATATAGGAAAAGTGAATACAAATGGTATCTGAACAGCTTAAATACAAAAGACATCTCAATAAATAACCTTTACAGCTGTTAGTAAGCGTATTCATTTTTAAACAGAACCAGGATAAAGGTATCTTGTGCCCGTCTCTATGATGCAGTTAACCAGGCCATGACACCGACTCCGCACTGAACTCACACACTTCAATAGAACCCATTATATTCCCTTTAAAACCCAGTGATGAATGAGTGGAATCATGATGTGATTCATGTTGAAAAGATGACCTAAGTGATAAATACTTACGCTGTGAAATATAATGTGATGGATAATGGAAGAAATACCATTTAAAACATGACTCAGGACCTCTGATCTTCCTGTCGTTGTCACTGTACTATCCAGTGACACACACACGCACACACGCACACGCACACACGCACACACACACACACACACACACACACACACACACACACACACACACACACACACTCACTCACTCACTTCTGTTTCTCCACTTTGTAGGAGGCAGTGAGGTCATCAAACAACTTGCTGTTCATCTCCATGAAGGTCTTCAGCACGTTGTAGATCAGAGACACGATGGTCCTGAAAAAAGAAGACATCATGATGAATCTCAGCCCCATTGCATTATGGGTCAGGAGTTAGAGGTTTGCAAGTGTGAGATTTACCGAGAGGCCAACATGTGTTTCGTGGAATATGACCTGGGCATCACTCATATGTCCCTTGTAGTTTATCAGCTCTGATGCTAACGTTTTTAGCATGTACTTAATACGTATGATGGGAGGATTGTACATATGTGTCACTGCTGGAAAGTTAGTGTTGCTAAGTGATCTTCTTACATAATAGGAGTGGCGCAGTGAGACACTACGGGAACATTTTTTTTATCACGGTCAATTATGAGGTTTTTGGCTATTTTGCTTCAATAACATGTTTTCTCTCAGACTTGTTGAAAGAAGACGTCCAAAATGCAAATGTGAAATTGAAAATGAGTCAACAATCAACCGGGAAAGTTTCATGGTGATATCTATTAGACTTGTGAATTATAGAATACATCCTTTTAAAAGCAGTTTTCTCAAAATACTTTTTTTTCTTATGTTCTAAGCCAGAAATCTCTTCTTCAGTGGCTCTTACACACCAAACGTTTCCTATATTAATCTGCACTCTGATGGTTCTTATACAAGGGTTTGTTTATATATCGTTCAGAGACTGATTTTAAGAACCTTTGTGTTCTTTAAGAAAAGCCGAAACCTGTATTTTTGTATGGCTTTTGACAGTCTTTTCTGATTTATGGAGGGATACAAAGAGATATCTCATACACAAATTGCCCCTAATTTAAAATAAAAACAACATAAATTATGAGTGGTGTGTGTGTGTGTGTGTGTGTGTGTGTGTGTGTGTGTGTGTGTGTGTGTGTGTGTGTGTGTGTGTGTGTGTGTGTGTGTGTGTGTGTGTGTGTGTGTGTGTGTGTGTGTGTGTGTGTGTGTGTGTGTGACTGACTGGTTCCAGTGCTCCTTGGAGACTCTGTACAGCGTGGCGAACACCAGCGGCAGGATGACTTGACAGTTCTCCTCGATCAGACTGAGGATGTACTCGTTGTTCCAGAAGTAAAGAGCCCGCTCCGCTACCTGAAACACACACACACACACACACACACTTCCATTTAGCAAAGAGGTAACGGGATTATTTCCATCAGACAAGTGTTAGTGCCCACAGTTTGTAAAGTTGTACGATCTTGAGTGGATTGTTTTTTTCTAAAAGTGATATAATACAATCTATTTGCAATTAGGTTGATATTTTCAGGGTTATTACTCCCAAAACTGTTTAATTCTTGAACTGTATATATAACCAAATGTTTATCGTAAACTGTGTAGCCAATATACAAGACCAAACACACAGAAATTGCCAGATTAAAACCATATTGTTTGAATCCTACAGTCCTTACAGAATGGAATCACAAGTTCTATTATATCAGGCTTTAGATCTAGAGCTCTGTTGTCCCCCAGACTAAGACTTATGGGGACATTACTATGGGTGTGTGTGTGTGTGTGTGTGTGTGTGTGTGTGTGTGGTGTGTGTGTGTGTGTGTGTGTGTGTGTGTGTGTGTGTGTGTGTGTGTGTGTGTGTGTGTGTGTGTATGTGTGTGTGTGTGTGTGTGTGTGTGTGTGTGTGTGTGTGTGTGTGTGTGTACCTGGAAGTGAGGGCTGGAGATGCAGGCGGCGATCTGCCTGAAGAGCGGCTCCTGGACCCGGATGAACTGAGAGGGCTCGATTACATCCAGGATCTCCTCAATCTCCCCCAGGAACATCACCTGAACACACACACACACACATTTGTATCATCAATACATAGAGGACAGAGAATCTGCATCTTTTTATGATTTCCCTTCTCACCTCTTTCTGCGTGCACGTTTTTGGCCAGTACTTGAGCAGCCCTCTGATGATCTGCAGAGAAAATATGAAGCACATTAATATGAATAAACACGGCAGCCTTTATCTCAGCAGGGGGTCTGGCTAGCGTCCATCTGTGCCGTTAACTCAGATTCAGACTCTGGCTGGGCCATTAACAAATATGTTATAAACGTTGTTCTTTTTACTGTATTGGTTGTTGCCAAATTAAGATGTTTTTGGTTATAGCAAAGACATTGGTGAACTAGTAACAGGACTAACACTGATTATGATGTTTGATGGTCATGTGACTTCAGTTTATTACTACTCGAGTCTTACTTCATAGTTTTGTCTATCACTTATATCATTTATTTAACTGTGAGCGATGTTTGGGTAAAAAATGCGAAAGTTTTTTTATTTTTAAACTACTTTGACCAACTTGGGGAAGGCAAATCAAGTTTATTTATGTCATATCTCAACACAATTCAAAGTGCTTTACAAAAAAATGAAAGGCATTAAGATATAGTGCAACACAAACAACATTTCAATTGATCATTAAAAAGCCAAGAGATTAAAACTAAATTAAAAACAAGTTAAAATAGAATAAGACTGGAATAAAATACAAGAATAGAAGTTACGGTGCAGGGTAAGACATGAATATCTGATTTATTCTAAAGCAGTGGCAGTGAAAGTTCATTAAAGGCAGTGTTTATAGATCTTCTGGCACAACAATGATATATTATCACCGAATAATGTTGACGTGGCAAACAGGAACCAACTTACTTCACACATCGTGCAGACACTAGCAGTCATTAGGAGTCATGTTTCTGGCTACCTGGAGAACCCAAGTCCAGTATTCATTCTCCTTATAGCTCTGTTTTGGTCTCCTCCAACTCCTTAAGGAAATATCTGGTTCATGGCATGTACAACCATTGACTATGTTTTTTGGGAAATTCCCCATTAGAGAGCTAGCTGATTGAAGGCTTATTAACTTTTACCAGGAATCAGACGTTGCTTATTTTTTCTACTTTTTGTCCAGCACCATAGAGCACCTTTATTACACTTGTTTGAACGTGAAAGGACCCGGGGCCTTTCCTTTTGGTAAAGATCTCAGCAATTACTTCGGTTGATAGAAATGATGGCCAAAACTTGAAAACCAATATGCTTTAAATTTAACGAGAAAGTGTAAAACACAGTCTTACGTATTCAGTCACTGTAGCATCTTTCTCCATAAACTGCACCACACAGTAGGCCAGCTGTAAGGAAAGAGGAGATGTGGTTAGAACACACACACATACACACGCACACACACGCATATACACACACACATATACACGCACACACACTAAAACACCCAAAACACAGTCACATTCCCTGAAGCTGTCAAGGAGACAATGGGGATCTTAGCACTTATCCCTCAGGATTACACCCGGCTAAAGATCGGAAAGGCAAGTTTTCCAATGGGAGATGTGTGTCACGAGTGTGTGTGTGTGTGTGTGTGTGTGTGTGTGTGTGTGTGTGTGTGTGTGTGTGTGTGTGTGTGTGTGTGTGTGTGTGTGCTTGTGTGTGTGTGTTACTTCTTCTACATCAGCCCTTGTCTCATCTTATACGATCTGGCAATCATATCCTATTATTCACGAGTGTGTGCGTGCGTACATGCGTGCGTGCGTGTGTGTGTTTTGCGGTTGCCCCCTCCACCCAGGCCTGTTGCCGTGGCGAGTGGGCACCGTGGCGACGGAGTCTGTGTGTGCGTGTGTTTACTTCGGAAGGAGTGATGTCACACACACACAAAGTCCCTTAAGGGCAATGTGAGATAGAGGTTAGACCTCCTGTCTCTGCCTCTCTGTCTCTGTCCTATTTTTACCTTTGCCTTTTTCAACTTATTACTCTACTGGTACATTTTACGACTTTCAGATCAATATGTTCATGTCATCAATACAAAACTATGCTGGATTGTCCAATTGTAAAGTTGCACAGTAGAGGATGTGTACCGTCAGATTAATAATGTTTGGTTTTTACTTAATTTTTGTAACCGTCCATACCTTTTCCTTACCCTGTCTAATCCCTTTTCTTTCTTGTTCTATCGCTCCATCCCTAACTTTCCTGTCCCTAACTCACAACACAACAGAAGCAGAGGATAAGAGGAAGCAAAGGCAAAAAAATAAGGGCGATCGGAGAAAGGAGGGATGTTAAGTTTGACAGAAAAGCAGGAAAAATGAAGGATTAAAGTACTGATCGGTCAAACTATTTAGAGTATTAGTGAGACTTTAAAGAAGCCTCTTGGGGTAAATATGTTGGATTCTGTTGTCAGGCTTGTCATTGTGTGTACAGGAGGCCGTTATTAGGCTAAGGACTATGGAGGTTTTAATCTTTTTAAAGCTTATATTTTATTAATATTTATATGTCAAGATGACAGGTCAGATAAGGGTCTATTTTTAGGGGTGAATTCATTCTAGAGATGTTGGCTTCTTGTCTGCATATTTCCTATGACTTGCACATAAAAAAGTTGACTTTTCAATCTTTTAGCACTACTTAAATGACTCTGACAGATATAAACACACATTAGCACGATCTGTGAATCATGTAACAAATGTCAAATTGGAAATGATATTCTCCTCACTTTTTACTATCACTGCAAAAACAAAGATAAAGTGTCTTTTCTTTGCATTTTTTACCAAATAAGTGCAAAAGTAAAATCAGCCATCAAGGAAATACTTTTTTTTTTTTAGCATTAAAAACATATATATCAGCGCCACTTTAAAATAAACAGTCTTTTATGTGCTTAAAATATTAAAGCACTGCATTTGCTTTTTGCCATTTGGAAGCATGATACGTAACCATGGTAATGCTTCACATTATAGCTGTTACTACAATCCAGTGACCTGAATAAAAATGAGAAAAGGCTACGGGAAGGATGATTCAAAGTGTCTGAAAACCTTAAAGATGAATCAAAGGTGCTGCTTTGATCTAATATCTTGATATTAATATCCAGAAGTGGGTCACTCATGCAGAGCCACGCCTACGGAGCACAAACTGCTGTCCGCCATCACTGTATCCCCCGTGACCCTGTCAAACTGAGAGTGTGTTTGAGTGTGTGAATAATGTATGTGTGTGAACTACAGAGAGAGACGGGTAGGATAAATGTAGGGCACGGTGATGCTGAGCCTCAGAATACACACACATCATCTGATAGGTGTGGTGGAAACAAAATGCACACACCAAAAACTGGCTGCCATCTGCGTTGTCAAATATTATAATAACCCAAACACACATTCACGTACAGAAACACACCGAAGGCCAATGAGTGTAATTCAAAGGTGAGTCTCTGCAGCATTATCTGTGACCTAACTCTGCCTCCTAGTGGCACGTCAGAGACATTGCAGGAAGGAGACACATTCATGTATGATTGATTTGTTAGTTGCTAACTCCTCTTAATAGTAGAAAAGTCTGAAAATAAAATACAAATCAGTTTGATTTTATGACAGTTGGGGGGAGTAAGTTCTCTATAATCTTCAGTAATGCATGCCTAAGTTAGGAGAATAACTGCCCATTTTGGGGTTAATTTCGTAGTTTTGTAGTTTCAGTGGCAAACACAAAACATTCATCAAAGTTTTGTTGTTCTTTGCCTAAAAATCTAAAATCATTAGAACCTTGTCAAAATATCAGAAATAACCTTAATGTGAACCCTTGAAAGACATATAATACACATCGAAGAAATATTACGACAAATATTTACAAACTAAGACAATTAAATACTGGAATTATGCATGGGAATGTCCCTGACCTGTGCGTGGAAGATGGAAAGGGACTTTGCCGTGTGTAGCGGGATGAGAACCCGGACCAGGAACTGCTTGTGTTCGGCCTTCAGGGGCAGGGCGAAGCCGTTTATGATGCTGCAGGAGGAAAAGGGACAGGTAAATACAGTATAAATACTTCCACTTTGTGGCATTTTAACTCTTTTAAAAATCATGTTTGCTTTCTTACTTAAGAAGGTTATGCCTTTGGTATGTTAACTTTATGGACAGTAGTTAAATTGATATGTATTTACCAAAGAGCATTGCATTAAACTCCTTAACCTACTATATACTTCAATGAATGTATTCATGTACAGGCCTACAGGGCCAACTACAAAATGTCACTCAAAAAGACATACATCAACCAAGAAGAGATTCAAAATGTCTACGAAGAAACATAAAAAGACTATAAAGAGATACAAACAGACTCATGATGACTATGAAAAATTGCATAACGACCACAAAGAGACAACAAAAACACCAAACAGCTACAAACCAATCAAAATGACTGCAAAGAGACAAAAAGAGACTCAATGCAAGTGTCTCCTAGCACTTGCTTTGAGTCTCTAAAAAAAGTGGCGCAGAGACCACAAAAAAGACTACAAAAGGGGCAAAGCAACTACAGACAAATAAAAAAACGCAAAAACTATTATAAACACAAAACAACAACAGCTGAAAGAAACAAAAAGAGCCTATGAACAACAACTATGAACATGTGCAAAACAACCACAAAGAGACACAAAATAACTATGACAAACAGTTACTACAGAAATAGGGGAAAAACAACTACAAATATAAAAAGACTAATACTATATAAAAGAGACACATTAATTAACTATAGAGTCTGTGTATGTTGCTTCTATGTAGGAGCGTTGGCGGGGCCTTTCTGCATATACTGTATGTGCCCAGGGGCCGACTGCCTCACAATCCTTTCATGTTCTGTGTGCGAATGTGTGTGTTGGAGTCTATTCTTGTACTGTGTTCATTTCCAAGTGACTGGACAAATGTGTGGTCTGTGGCCACCGCTGCACTGATTGTCATAGATGTAGTTTAGCCTGCAGGGGGGCCTGAAGGGGGGGGGGCTAAACCTGGAGTGTGACTCTTATTTACCTGTCTGTCTGTCTGCCTTCATTTTCTATTAGCATCTTTGTCTAAAAGAAGATTTCTTCAATAATATCTCCCTCCTGCTGTTCCTCTGATCTTTCCCTCAGCCTCCTCTTCTCTTCTTCCTCTCCGTCTCTCTCTCTCTCTTTTACTTCCTGTACAACGCATCCTCCCTCAGCCATCCCTCTCTCCCTCTCTCCGTGTGTGGGAGGAGCTATAAATACCTCTGTTACCACCAACATGAATACGAACCTCTCTCTCTCCTCTCCTGCTCTCCTCTTCTGACTCACTCATCCTCTCTCCATCCCTCCCCCCCCCAACCCTCCCTCCATTTTCTCACCTTGGATTCATCCTCTTCTCTACCTCCCCCTCTTTTCTCTACATTAACCCACATTCTGAAACTTCATTCATATTTCATCGAACTTTTTGGGTCAGGTGAAATGGTAGCCCAGATTTTGTATGAATTTAGTGTAATGTTAAGTATTAGCTCTTTCAGACAAATCCTTCCCATCACCCTAAATATTTTGAATCCAAAAATTATTTTAATTCTCTTTACTTTTTTCTAAACATCAATAACGATTATTTAAAGTCTTATTAGTGTCAAATAATGACAGAGAAAGAAGAACTAGATTCCAGCACAGAATGCCCTTGAGAGAAATTAATATTTAGCACTGATTTGTTTGTTTGTTTTTGATTTATCAGCTTCCATCCTCTTATGTTAATTCTGTCTTCGTCAATCTCTTTGTGTCTAAACTTCTATCAACTTGTCTGTTTATGTATGTCAATTTAAAACTAATTGCTAATATCTCTGCCTCAAACTTGCTCTGAAGCAAGTCTACATTGTATATGGGACAGATTCATTCATATGTATGTATGCATTTGCTTCCTTCCACAAAGGAATGAACAACCCTCTCCTGTTATGTGCGTTAGCAACACAGAGCCACTTCCAGGGGCGGACTGGGACAAAAAAACAGCCCTGGAATCTCACCCAGACCAGCCCACGTGAATTGTCAACGGGGGGTTGCTAGCAGACTGTCAACGCTGTCGGCGCAACTTCAATGATGCCGTTTAAAAACATAGACAATTAAGGGCGGTCCCAGCCGTCAACGGCCCTTGACGACCGGTCGTTCTGTGATTCTCCAGATTCTCCAGATGGCCAGTCCGCCCCTGGCCACTTCGCACATCGCCAGCTAACTAGCCTGCTGTAAGGTAGTTTAAACTTTTACCCAGCATCAAAGTAAAAAGCTATCTTGTTATCAGAGTTAAGATAGGAGAATACCACAGTTAAAGCTGGAGAATATATATTTTTCCCAGTTCACTATGAAAGAGAGTCTTTGAGGGATTTCGTGTTCCCTGCAATGTTTTTCCCTTTCTAAACACTCGAAGATAGGCCTTACCAATCTCTTACAATGTTAGTTCATATCAAGAGACACACCTGTCTTGTAAACACATGGATAACCTGTTAAAACTTTCCTCAGATAAAGACACACAACTGAGATGAGAAAATAGATGTTATGGTCATGCTAACGTAGCTAGTAATCATCCAAGCTCAGGAAAACTAGTGCAGTCTGCAGCATATCTGCTTTGATAGTGTTCAATAATAAAAGAATGTGACCTTGAAAGGAAAGCAGAGACAGAAAGAGAAGGTATCCTCTCATGTATTTATCTCAACAAGGCCACATGCTACGTACCAACCCAGTCTCACGGCATTTCGTGTAATAGTCACGAAATACATTTAATCTATTGATTCGTGTTCACCAACACGATTTCCCCATTTTTTTCGTGTCACACAGAACGATTTCAAAAACAATGTATTTCTATTGGTAGTGTGTTTCGTGCCTGCAACACGGTCTTTTTGTCCGGTCGGGTCTTGGAAGACCGGAAGCTGTGTGGTTCATAAAAACATTTTCTTACTCAATATCAAGCCACGATTATTGTTTTTATTTTAAATCGTATAATGTCGGACTTTTTTTGCCGTCCGCGAGGAAAAGACATGGGGCTCAGAGCCTCAGAATACTGAAATCTGTATTTTTGTAATCTTTTCCTTCTAATTTGTTATTATTTGGTGCAGGCACGAAACATACTACCAATAGAAATACATTGCTTCTAAAATTGTTCTGTGTCAGAATACTTAAATCTGTATTTTTTTTTATCTTTTTTTCCTTCTAATTTGTTATTATTTACATAGTTTTTCAAATCGTTCTGTGTGGCAAGAAAAAAATGGGGAAGTCGTGTTGGTGAACACAAATCAATAGATTACATTTCGTGACTATAACACGAAATGCCGTGAGACTGGGTTGCACGTACCTAGCCAGCTAAATACTGTGGCTATGTGGTGATGCTAAAGACCTTTTGCTAAGCTAGCCATGCAAAGACTTTAGTTTAGTAACGCACAGACATGGGTTGTTTCTTTTTTCATTATTCTGCATACAGAGGGGATGAGCAAAACAAACGTTATAGTATCACAGATTTTGTTTGTATTCATTCTCCATATTCTCCCTCCCATTTCTTTGTCTTTATTGCTGTGTCTCCCATCGATTTGCTTACGAGCACAGGCAGAGAGCGGGACATGTTGTTTATTAGACCCTTGCTCTCTCCTTTCTATCTTTCTCATATTTCTGTTACTGGCTCTAGAGACAAAGCAATAAACCACACAAACCTCTGAGTCAGTTCCATTTATGTATTTAACCTCCCTTCCTTCCTGCCACCCCCTAGCTTTACTAATTCCCCCCCTGCCTTACAACTAATTTCTCACTCTGTCAAGCTCTAAACACACAGTTGTTTTTACCTGATAAGAAAGAAGCAACTAAGACGATAAATCAAAAAATAAATGCTTATTGTTTATTGTGTTGAGCTGTTGCAGTTATGCATTGTCGCCATTTTTCGTAGTTGCTCAATTGACTGAGTTACCAGCTGTCTCCTGAATAGGAGCAGCTGGCCAAGTAGAGTTTGTGTGTAAGAGTGTGTGTGTTTGTTCACACTCAAATCAAAATGCATTCATTAAGCAATGATATACTACAGTCTACTTTCCTCCATAGCAGCAGCTCTAAAATGTGTGTGTGTGATTATGGTTACGAACCTGCCGAGGATTTCCAGAAGCTCCGCGACTCCGTTGAAGTGCTCAGTTTCATATATGAACCTAAAAAACAAAACACACATGTCTTGTAATTATGCATCAGTAGATCTAGGAACCATTGTAGGTCAGCAAATGTAAAGGCAACTAAAAGAAGGGCTGCATGTTTCTCAACGCTTAAAACATATAGTGTTGTAGGGATCACATCTTTGTGTACGTTAGCATCGCTCTGGTTCCCTCAACAAAAACCCAATTCGATTTTTCAATTGGATTTTGGATAATTGCAACAAAAAAAAAAAAGCATATTATACCTTCTTATTCCTGCAGGGAATTGCTTTAATATCTGTATGTGCTGTGTCTGTTACCTCTGTGATGTTTAGATGAGAATAAAGTACAATAACAGTTTAGCAGAGTAATGCTTACCTGCACCCGTCAAAATGTAAAAACAATGACAGCGGAACAAGTTGACTGGGACAGAAAAAGAGCGCGTTGCAGTGCTGTGCTTGAATTATTTTGCAAAAATTGACAATTCAGGAACACTCAGTGAGATGAAACATGATTGTACATCACAGCACTCTAGTTATTTGAGGAGATTTATGTCACAACACGATGATTCAACACTTTGGATAGATGCAGAACGGAGATGCGTGGACTGCAAATGTTTGGCAGAATACTATTTTATTTGATCCAGAAAATACTGAATGTAGCATGTTTTGTTTCTTTAAAATGAACCGTCTTCTCTGTGTTTATTCTTGTGCACCGTAGACTTCATATTGTTCAGACTTTAATTACGAGCAGCTGTGTGGGAAAACTGTTAACGCCAGCCTCTTAGGTGTAGTTCTGAGTCAGCAAAAGAACTACAGAAGCCATCATCACTCGCGGCTACATATAAAAAAGCCAATATAATTACTAGGATTTATTCACCTAATTAAAAAGGAGATTTACACTGTTTGTGTCTGGTTTCACTACAAAAGTATAGCACATTTCGTTTTGTAAGACAATGTGTGAGGTTTTCCCTTATTTAGGATTGTGAAACACTTTAAAATGACTTGCTATAAAATCATGACGCACCAAGCTAAAAGGATGCATTACAGTGGTTATAAACGCAGCGTTTCCCCCTGCTGATGCTCTTCGTTAGCTAACGTTTGATTTATTGATGTTAAAGGGGCTATAAATAGCACCGTTAAGTCCTGTGCATTGGATTGATGGTACGCGGCCTATACCTGAGGAAGATGTTGTTGATCTGTTTGCGGATGTACGCTCGGAGTCCCAGTAATTTTCCATAGACACGGTGCAGGATGGTCTTTAGGTACTCCCTCTCCCTGGGGTCCTCGCTGTCAAACAGCTCCAGCAGCTGCACACAGAGGAGATAATTACAAATACATTATAACCTTCTCCCTTCTACATCCAAATCGTGGGAACATGGTGGTATTTTTACCCACCAAAATGAATATTACAAAGTGTTTTTTACTCCATTACTAAAACAGGATTAAAGAAAAAAGATTACACGACAAGAACTTTGGAGTCCCTTTGTCAATTTTTTATACATGCCCCAACTTAGATAACTACATTTGAGAGCGCTCCAGCAGGGATATAAGTAGGCTCTGCGATGGCTGCAAAGAAGGGCTTAATTTATTTATACCTCTCCATTTATCAAGATTTTAGAAACATCCCAGAGATTTGGATTCGACAAACTGCGAGGAGAGGAGAGGATTACCTGCAGGACAAACTTCTGGTCGACGTAGCGCTTGGCCATGGAGGGCTGGAAGTCCGGACTCTCCAGGAAACGCAGAAAGAACTCGTACACCAGCTAATGGAGGCACAAACAGCAAGAGATAAGACGTCAACTATTGTCTGCGTTTGCCTCCTGAAGGAATAGTTTGACATTTGGTGAATTATTCATTTTCTTGACGAGAGTTGGAAGAGAAGATAACAACACTCATGTCTGTAGAGGGTGGTGTCAATCTCCTCATCTCACTTTTGGCAAGAAAGCATATAAATGTTGCTCTAGGTAACGTGATGACCGCTCAAAATGGCAGCAACTTCAGGAGCTTCTTTCAAAAATCGGAGTTTAGGAACCCAAAAATCTTCAAAGTTGACATCAGAGAACACCATCTGCTCGCTTTGTGCTCAAGTTTATACCAAAAGATCCCGACTATGCGGGAAAAGAAAGAAGACTTTGCTTCATGACGCATTTTGGACTTCACACTTTTGATTCATCTCGTCCTGAAGGAGGAGAAGTGACTGTACACCACACCCAAATGTCATCTGGGCAAGTGAATTGAGAAAATGTGAATTTCTTCTTAGCGAGAGCTCCATTTTGTAAGTCCCACTGATAAAACAGCTACATAAGGATGTTGCATTGAACAGCAGATTTAACTGAACTGAAGGACCACAGGTACAATATGTTCAGGAAGGGCTGAATGTGGCATTAAAAGCAACACCTGGGAGACGTGTGCTTTAAGGCATTGTCCACAATCGCAAATACAGTATGTATAATATATAGTAGGGCCTATTTTTCAAGTAGTTACTGACACTGCATTGTGTTTCACTTTCTTTTACCTCTGCAGGAGAAAACGCATGAAAGCATGTCAATTATTCTACCATGAACAATGTACCTGCAGATGCGGCCAGGAGGCTTCGAGTGTTGGTTCATCTTCCTCAGGGTCAAACTCTGGGTTCTCGCTGGGCGGGAGGGTCCGGAAGATATTTACTGAGATCTGGAAAATGAAAAAGAGGTAGAAAGGCAGATAAGAAAGAGCCAAATGACCTATAGCACATTCCTGTTAATGTGAGAAAATGGTGTTTCTATCAGTTAGATCTAATATCATGACTTCGGTTGACCGTGTTTGATGCTGTTCTGTGTTTGAGAGGAACTGTTTAGCGTTGCAACCCGGCTGCCAGCAGAGTCATGATTAATTCAACAAATGCATTTCCATTGGCCATTTAGTGCATAAACTATATTGCAAAAAGCAAATGTGCTAAATCCCAACGCCCCAATTCAGCATTATTCTCCTGCTGCTCCTTCTCTCCATACATATGCTTACATTAAAACATTGTAAGAAAAAACTGCAGGAAAATATAGGCTCGTTTCACATGATGCACATCTAGCTTGGATTTTAAAAAGTTCATAAGCATACACTTCTGAGGGATAACGACAATAAGAGGGAAATTCTACAATATTTCCATCATCTCTAACTTTTTCTCTAACCTTCATCCTGTATTGCATTTATTCTGTTGCACTGCCTTGGGCTCTAACCTATGCACTTATTAGCATCTTCTTTTAAGGTTCCTTCCTTGTGGCCACACATTAAAGCTTCTCCCTTTTTCCTTTCATCCCATCCTCTGTCCTATCAGCATTTTCACATCCTCTGGGTATAGTGACTCCATATCATAAGCCCTATCTTCTGCTCGCTTCACCTTCTCTCCTCAATCCCTTTTTCCCTTTCCTCCTTTCTATATCCTCTGGGACTTGCGTTGGTGTGCACACGTTTTCCACCCCTCTATCGTTCCTGTCCATCCCTCCCTCTCTCAACATCTGTGCAGCCTATTGCTGCTTAGCACCCTTTGCAAATGATCTCTCCTCACTATCCTTTTATTAAAGCCTCAGCTGGATATCACACTGTCTCTCTTTCCTAGATGTCTGGGTGATGAGGATTGAAGGAACACTGTTTGTCCTTCTGAGTGCTCAAATGTTCTTCCTTTCATCTCTCCATCTGACAGTCCATCATGTCCACCCCTCTCCCCCTGCCATGGCCGGTTCTATGGGGGTGCTGTAACACTGTGCTTGGACCCCTCTGGGGCCCCCCCTCCAAAAGAATACATCTATGATAATGCAATTTCTGATAGTGTTGCAGCCAATACTGTGCTGTAATCTGGGCCTAAGATTAAAAAAAAATGTTTTTTTTCAGTAATATAATTAAATAAATTAAAACTAAGTTACTAAAACAAATTCTGTTACTAAAACAAATACCGACAAATATGAAAAATAAAAATAAAAACTATGTTTGGCTACATAAATAATGTATGTAATACCTCAACTGCATTTAGGTTAATGGTTAAGTAAGTAACTAAACTAAAATTGTAACTAAGTCATTGACACAAGAATGTTATATTATATTTTTTGTGCACTTTGATTGAACTCAAAAAGTTTAAATCTTGAACAATTAAATTAATTAAAATGTGTCCCTCTCATTCATTAACTGGCCCCAGCTCGGTCCCCCCAGTTCAATTGGTGTAGAGCCTACCATCTTTATGGCCTCGGGGTACAGAGGCTCTATGAGAACTCCTCTGCTCGTGGCCACGCTCTCCACCAGCTCGTTGAGCGCCGCACGTTTGATCTCCTTCCCCTTCAGGTCGGCCACGCAGTCCAGGAAATCAAACAGCACGCAGCACTGCTGCAGCTTCTTACAGAACAGGTCATGTAACTCTGCCACCGGGGCGTCTGCAGGAGTGAGAAGGGAGAAAGAGAGAGAAGGAGACATGTTAGACAAATAAGTTCAATGACAAAAAGAAAAAGTCTGAGCCAAATCCGATGGCGTTCCTCAAAGGCGCGTTGTGTTTGGTAGTGAATCGTTTGACAAAGTGGGAGTGTTGGAGTACACAGAGATGTATTCTCCAGCCTACATCGTCTCTCAAAGGTAATGAGGGAAAGAGCAGACTATTACTCTATAAACACATTTGTACACACCCACACACAGAGGCTTCCTCCATGCACACACACACACACATGTCCACACACACTTCTTCCAGAGGGCTGTGTTGCATCTCAGTCCTATTACCTGTCGGATTGGTTCCACAGACCGGTTCGTCACAATGAAACGTCCTGCTGCCGGCCGTCTGATTAAAACCCTGTTCCTCCAAAAAACAACTCTTCTCACAGATGTAGGGAAAGTGGCTGATAGCTATGGATTCCTAAACTCATGCAGTGAGTTTAAAATTGATTCCACAGGCCCAACGGGGGGATAATCTTTAGCAGCTAAGCATTGTGAGGCAACATGCTAAATGTAAAGAAATGAAACATTAACATAGAGTTACAGGCTTTGACAGCAGCCAAATGGGAATGCTTGGTTCTTTTTCTATGAAACCAGATGATTGATGACTCAAAAGCTAAATATAGCAGTGAAATATTCAACGTTTAAATTCCTCTATAAGTGAGATGTATGTGAGGTTTGGTCTAGCAATAATATGCTGATCTATTTTGAGATAAATCATATGAAAAGGCACGAGGTATCAAAAACGTCTCGTCTTGGCAAAGGTTTTTTTCGAGCAGAGTGTTGCAGGTGTTTAGGCTTTATATATATTCATGACACGATACATGACCCGTTTGTTATAACTGCTATAAACGTAAGAGAGGGTGAGATGGACAGATATTATAGACGGATTCATTTTGAATAAACTGTATGTTTGCAGCTGTGAATAATTTTACAGCTGAAATGTGTATGGTACAAAACCTTGCCTTACATTATATTATAGTATATAGTAATGTACAGTATTGTTGATTCAGAAATGAATCAATAGATTGAAAATAAATAAGAAAAATGTGCATGAATTGACTAATGGAACAAATAATGTATTGATTAATCAATAAAAAAATAGTCTTTAGTTGCAGCCTTAGAGAAAAAGGTCTTTGCAACCCCAAAAATGAAAGTGGTCGCAGCTACTCTGTGATGTGACTACTTTTTAAGATTTAGATAGATGTGGGACAAAGAAAAGCTCTGCCTTGGTGACTTCATTAGATTCTCTTTCAACTTAAAACACAATCTAATACAAAAGCATCCCTAACTACAAATAATATAGAGGGAAATTACATTGACTTCTTCCTGACAGCGTCAACAGAAACTGATAACTCCGTGTACTGACAGTCTTCAATTAATAATCTCCCTCTGTCAGAGAGAAACAATGCAGATTTAGGCTGGGAAGCAGTCTAGACTAACTGTGCAGTTGGAAGGAGGACAATCCAAGACACACACACACACACACACACACACACTCACACAGCAGGAGCAGATTAGATTTAACCCTTCTTAACCCCAAGGTGGGAAAAAGAGGATGAGTGAGGGGGGGGCTGACTGGAGCTCCTCTAGCCCCAGACCCCCTCACCTCTTGTGGGCACACCATGACCATCTGCTCCCTCTGGCACAAAGCTGCACAACAATGGACCAGGACGGCCCTCTGCTCAGTGTCGTGGCACAAGACACACATTTCAGAGAACCAATCACATTTGACTTTTTGTCAATCAGATTATTCTGACTATGCCTTAAGTACTTGGATATTTGTACAGGATTTATATTAGGTTTAAAACATACCAAAACTGATTTGCTGTTTGATCAAGTCTCAGGTTTGTGATATGGAAACACCCACAACTAGTCAATGCAATATTGGGGTCTCACTAAATGGCAAATATGAATAACCCGCCATTATTTCACACGTTTATCATTATCTTTTCTTCTCACGTGTCATTTCACACCGTGGCAATATTAGATACTCAGAGCAAGTGCTCCTGAAGGACTGACACAGGAAAAGCATAAAATGTGTAGGCATGACTCGCAAAATGTCCTAAAAAATGATGTGCTTCCAAAGAGATCACATTTCCATAACTTTCTGACTTTCACCTCTATGTGTTTTTGGCAACATTCTGTTCAAATTGACAACAAAAATGGTCTTCTTTAACAGCACATTCTAATTAACTTTACTTTAATATGCAGACGATTGTGTGTTGTTCGTGTATAAAGACGACGACGCGACTTGCATGCTTCTTAATTTTTGTACATTCTTGACGTGACTTAAATAAACAACCTCTGTGACTTTTCTTTAACCTTCCTTTTTGCATCTAGTCTTGAAATCTCTGAGAGCCATTGAGCTGTACTGAGCGGGCAATTTGTTCTTGAATTGCAGCCATTTCTCAGTGACTGAACAAACGTGTGACAGACAAGTTCACACTATTTTAGAACTATTTGTCACGAAAAAACAAGTGATAAAAAATATCCAAGAGGGTGAACTGCTTATTTTGACTCTGCTTTGAGAGCGGAGGACAGTCTAAACCTCTGTATTTGTGAGGTTTTGAGATACCAGCAGCCTCCTCTACCTCCATCCTTTCCCTTTTGTCCTCCACCGCTCCGTTTCCCTTCCTAATCTGCCCCTTCCTAACCTCCTCTCCTGATTTCTCACAGCTCCTCTCCTCTCTGTCCACTCTCTCCTTCCCTCTGTAGACAGACTGTGAAGGTGAAATCTAATCCATTTTTAATGGAGAGTAATTGTATGAAGATGTGCCGTGCTGGGACTGAGAAGGAAGAACAGAGCGAGGTGAAAAGATGAAGAGAAAGGAAAAGCATGCGTGTATGTTTGGGAGGCAGAGAGTGTGATAGGAGGTGAGAATAAGAGAGGCAAGATGAAGGGAATGGAGAGACTTGGTGGGTCATGTGACAGCAAGTGTGGGAGAGAGCAAAGGAAAGGAAAGTGAAAGAGAGTGGAAAGTGTTGAGGATGACAGGCACAGACAGAGACACATATTTGAATGGCAAAGAAATGGGCTAAAACTATTTTCTAGTCTGTGTTCGCTAAACTGCCCACCAGGAATATCTTACTGTCCATAAAAAGCTTACATTTGGAATAAAAAAACAGCCAGTGCACAATGAAGCAAGCGACAAAACAAACTGAGCTAACTCTGAGTTAAGTGGATTTGAGTTGCTATATTAGATCAACGCAGGTCACTACATTCAAAGCAGCTTTTAATACCATGTCAGTGAGAATATTAACAACATCCTCAGTGAGTGAGTCATCTGTAACTGCGCTATTTTCATGTTTCTGACAACCCAAATTGGTGTTTTGAAAGCCTAACTGTGACTTTAAAATCCCAAACATTGAGTGCCTGTAGTTACATTTCACTCCTTCATTTATCTCATCTTCATTAAACTCAAAAAGTCCCTCGAGTTCCAAACTCATATCGACAACATGGCGCACCATTACCAAAGTTACATTGCGCAATTATAAAAGCATGTTCGAAGAGTCAGTACGAAAAGCAATTACGCTTTTCATTCATTTATTTTTTTATAAAGAGTAGTGCTGATACAAAGTGCTAGCAGCTCTGTACTACTCTACTTTTAATCTTCTGCATGTGACAGTGCAGATAAAGGGTCTTTTCAAAATGCACAAAGAATGACTTATCTATTAGTTTGTGTTTTTTATTCCACTTTGGTCCTTATCTGAAGGATGTATAGCTCCATCTTGCATGTGGAGTCATGTTTAGCAGTAAAGCCAGATATCCTGCACATGCGATGTCATACAACGGTTCCTAAGTCAGCCTTGTAGTTGTCTAAGAAGAAGTGCAAACCTCTGGAGAGTTAACTCAATGAGAGATGCCCTCTCCACGGATGGCTGAGTGCAATGGGAGCCCTAGGTGGTAAAAAAGCAATTACAAAAAGAGAAAGTTGTAACAGTAACACAGAGTCCAACAGTCAGATTGAGACATACTGCCACAAGATAAGAATACATAGACATAGTCCCAATAGCAGTAATCACATTACTCCAAATCCAACATTGTGTTTTAAGTCTAGAAAGCCACTGCATCACTTTAAACTGCAAACAGTGTATGATACAATCGGCCATTAAATAAGGAAACATTACATCTAGTGGAGTCTCATGAGAAATGCTCCCCACTTGTCACAACGTCTGCCTCGGTTATGTTTATTCTGCCTCTGCTGTCATAAATGACGGAGGGCTGCAGGAATAAGTCTTCCAGTTGCCTCGTCTCAAAGTCAATGGCTTTTGGAATGGCTTTTGCTTTGATGCCTGAAATAAGGTCTGTGGGTAACTCAAGCTAAAGAGATATAAATGTGCTTCATAAAACAGGTCAGTAAATATGTGTTTCAGGAAAGGTGGTTGCTAATAAGTGGAGATTATACAGGTTGTAATAGCTATTCAACGCCATGTAATTAAGACTGGGAAACACTCCACTAAGTGAGTTTAAAGGCACATTACCTTGGATTGTGCGCAGTAGGAATTGTGAAATAAACGAACCAGGATTAGGCAAACTTCCAATTAGGCCTACGTCATGACTGCAGCACTCATATGAGTTAATAGGGTTTGGGTCTATTTTCAGTGGCGCATTTATACACATTTAGAGCACAATCAAATATTTGCAGCAGCAGGTCGGTGGGTGTAGAGTCAAAATACACAAGAGTTTCTGTTTGTTCGTATGTCACCTAGTGCAACAGTGTGACTCATTTTTAACTATAGATACTTCCGGTACACAGCAAATACTTGTTTGTAGGATGGAGTCATTGTTAGTTCTGGGATTTATTGTTAGTTCTGGGATTTGTTGACAGTAAGAAAATGAAGGCACCTCTCCATACGCATCCTTTAAATACACGGAGGAGGAAGAAAGAAAAAAAGACCTGGAACACAGCGAGGGAAAAGATGTGACGTAGAAAGGATGGTGAGCGCG